TACTCCAGGACAAAGTTTTTCTTTGTATTCCCAGGTCCTTTGTAGCCCAGTGATGCACAGGGGAAAGCTGGCCTCCAGCTCAAAAAGACCTCAGGTCAAGCCCTGCCTTTGAAAGATCCAAGCAAGTCGGGAAACCTCCCAGAGTACCAGGAAGCTTTCTAAGCTTTCTATTACATCAGTGCAGCAAGTTTCCACACGGAGACTTTCTGAAATGGAGGAAACTAGTACACCACAAAGGAAAAAATTCCCAGTGTCTATTTATTAAGGAAGTGCTCAATAAATGTCTGTTTAATTGGACTGAATTAATAATAATATTGTGAGTAAGGAAGTTTTCTGACAGGCTTTGCTTGAACGACAGGTTTCTGGGTGCATGTCGAATATAAACAGGCATCGTTTGTTTTCTCTCTTACATTTTTTACGTATGTCTACCAGGATTGGTTATTACCGTAAGGCTACTACTGGAAGCAGTACTACTTTCAGGAAGTCTGACTTAAAAAAATTTTTTTAATGATTTAAAAATCAGGAGACACTAACAAGGGTTTTCTTGGGTCAAAAAACCAATGTGAACGTGATCAAAAGTCAGGTTGTGATGGAAGATTTGAAAATCCCCCCTTGGGAAGAACTACCATGGGTTCCTTCTCATTTTTTCTTGGTTGTGCTCCGCGTTACCTTTTGAGCACCACAGATTCCTGGCACTATGGCTGGAGGGCACCCCAGAGGCCACCCCACATTTTGTGGAAGAAGAATGAGAGCTGAAGTCACGACCACAGTCATACACATCAGAGGAGAGATTTCTACCCAGATCCTTCGATTGGCCCATGATGGGGAACAAAAAGCCATCTTCAGGTACTGCCAAGGCTTAGAAAGGAAGTGGTATTTGACTTGTTCCGCTTGTCCCTGGGGGAGAAGGATCAAAGACTGGAATTTGCAGGGAGGGAACTTTCTGCTAAACAGAAGGAAAATGCTCTTCACACTGGAGTCATCCAAAGAGAGGAATGAGTTGTTGTGGGAGGCAGTGAATTTCCCGTTCCAGGAAGACTTCCTCCAAAGGACAGATAACTTATCAGGCATGTGGGTGACAGGATATCTGTTGAGGATTAGATACAAAGCTGACCTCTGAGATCATTTCTGTCTCTGAGATTCTTGGTGACCCTGGGGGGTGTGTGTGAAAGAAAGCTCCGCAATGAAGCAACGTCATACTCAGTGACCTAAGGGCCCTTCCTTTATCCAGGCTCTCCGTCCTCTCCATCTTGGTAAGATCTGCTGTCCTTACTCACCTCCAAATACCCTCATCTCCTCCCTTTACAAACCCATGACAATTCCCATCTCTGAGCATTTGCTTATGCTGGGTCATCATTCATGATGTTGTTGTGGAGTCATTTCAGTCACGTCCAACTCTCGGTGACCCCATTTGGGGTTTTCCTGGAAGAGATACTGGAGTGGTTTGCCATGTCCTTCTCCAGCTCATTCAGCAGATGAGGAAACTGAGGCAAACAGAGCCAAGTGACTCGCCCAGGGTCACACAGGTAGGAAGTGTCTGAGTCTAGATTTGAACTCAAGAAGATGAGTTTTCCTTGAGGGCCAGTGCTCTAACCACCGAGCCACCCAATACCGTACCTGTGGGAGCCCACACTTTAATGCCCTCCACCCTTCTCCCTGGAGAGTCTCCAGCAATCTCGTCAGCTCACACGGATTTAATTGTTACCTCTCTGTACATGATTGTCACATGAATATCAGCAGAACCAAAAAGGGTTTGTTAAAAGTGCTTTACAAATATTATCTCACAACAATCCTGAGGATTATGTCCATTTTACAGATGAGGAAACTGAGGCCAAAAGATTTAAATGACTTGCCCAGAGCCAATCAGCTAGTAAGTGTCTAAGGAAAGATTTGAACTCAGCTCCTCCTGACTCCAGCCCCACAGCGCCACCCTGGGCTCCAGTTCTGTATGACGACTGCAGATCTCCCATCTCAAATTGGAAGTCCCGCTGGCACCTTGAAATCGACAAGTTCAAATGAAACTTGCAACCCTTCCCCTCGAAAATGACCCCAAGCGACTGCTGTTACTGTCGAGGACGCCGTCATTGAACCTGGAGATGCTGCCTGGTGACACCTCCGCGGGCACGCAACCTCAGTCACCGAAGACCCAGGAGAGAGAGCGATCCTGGGCACCAGCAAACGCCTGGGCGTTAGAATATGAAGAGAATGATGTGACTTTACCCATGGCGATGATAGGAATGAAGATGCATCACCATCTGCTTTACTTCTAAATGCTAAGCAGTACAGGTAGGAGACGGAGCCCTAACCAAAGAAGAGGTAAAGGCGACGACAGAAGATGATATACTGTAGATGACTTTGATTATGTGAAACTGAGAAGCTTCTGCCCAAACAAAATCAATGCACCTAACAAGAGGAAGTGAGTGAGAATCATCGTAACAAACTTCTCTGATAAGAGCTTAGCACCCAAGACATAAGATAATTAAAAAACTTATACGCATACATATATTTACATATACAAATACACACACACATTCTCCAACAGATAAATGGTCAAAGGGTTAGGGAACAAACAGCTCTCAAAAGAAGTATTCACAACCACGTAAAAACAGTCGCAATCACTAATAATAAGAGAAATGCAAATCGATAACCCTGAGGTTTTCCCTAACACGCTGCAAATCAGAAAAAATGATAAAAAATGGCAAGCCAATGTTGGTGTGGTTGTGAGAAGACAGGCACACTAATATACTGTTGGTAAAGTGATGAAAGGGTACAACTATTTCAGAAAGCCACTTGGAATTATGCAAATAAAATGACTAAAATGTTCATAGTCTTCAAATCAGAGACTCCATTACTGGACTTATACCTCAAGGAAGCCATCAAATAAGAAAAGAGTGCCCATATAGTCCAAAATATTCATAACAGTATTTTTTTTTGTGATAGCTAAAGATTGAAAACAAATTACATGCCCATTGATTGGGGGAATGACTTTAGAAACTGTAGTCCATAAATGTAATAAAATACGACTTACTGTGAGAAATAATACGTGTGATGTGTACAGAGAAGCATAGAAAGATCTATGTGAACTGATGCAGTTGGGAATGATGTTTTATCTATGAATCACGTAGCCCTCTACTGGCACCTCTCTGATGTGCTCATCATGGAACACTGTCCGTCCTATTCATTACCATATTGAGATCGTGTACCAAGGATGAAATGGTATACTTAAAGTGGGGAGATGTAGGTTCAAATCCCATGTTTGCCACTTAATGCCTCTATTACGTTGCAAAACCCAATCCAGTCTGACAAACATTGGTGAGCATCTGCTATCTAAGAAGCCACACAGCAGAGTGGATTGATAACATGTTGGATTGAAAAGCCAGGCAGTCCCTCTTCTGACATATATTGAGCAAGTCATTTACATTTCAATGTTGTAGGTTACTCTGTAAGACCTTCAGCTATGGAGAAGGTGCCAACCTGTGAGGGTAGAGACAGTTTCCTCCCCGGGGAGGTGCCTATATTAATATCATGGATCCCCGACAAAATAACACAACTAATTAAACTACAGAAGGTACCGTCCTAGTCTCTGGAGACATAAAGACGAGTCACAACCTCTTGAGTTCAATTATCTCAACAGAATAATGAGGGAGTTGGAAGAAATAAGGTCGCTTCTGCCCCTTGTTCTAAGAGGCTGCCATTTTTGTTGGTGTCACACCCCCCAGCTGGGCTATGAGCTTCTCTGGGGAAGGGCTTGCGTTTTCTCTAATACAGCCTAGTACACAGGTCGGCATACAGATGATGATTAATAAATGTTTCTCGTATATATTGTCAGGTGGCACCTTTTTCTGGTTTAGAAGCTGCTAAATGTTAGGACATTATACTACAACAAGCCTGTGATTTTTCAACTCCAGCCATCTGAGCATGTCAAAGGATGACGGAATATTGACTGTAATGTTCTAAACAAACAAAACCTAAGTTCGCACATGGCTACAGGGGTATCGAAATCCGGGTTGCTGTGACCTCTAAGACCCAAGTATTATAGAAGCAATATAGTATAGATGAAGACCACTGGATTGCTAGATGGAAAGCCTGGGTTCTAGTCTCGGCACTATCACCAAGTAGATGTACGACCTTAGTAAAGTCACTCTGACACTTAGGCTCAGTTTGCCCATCTGCAAAATGAAGGATTTGGCCCAGACAAGCTTAGATTTAAATCCCATATCATTAGACAGGACAATACGACATTTTCCTCCTCTGTATAATGAGGGGATTGGTATAGGTGATCCTGAGATGTTTCTTTCAATTTAATAACATACAATTAACGTATTCATGAGTTTTCTTTGCTACCTTGGAAGCACGTTTCCTCCAGATATCCCCATGCAGGCTGTCCTATCCAATGAGATGTTTTTTAAAGGCTTTTGTAAACTGCAAAGTGGTACAGAAATGTTGGCTATTTTCTGTACGCATATTCTAAGGCTGATGCAACCGTCTACCTCTGTACATTTCCTTTCCCTTCATCTAGTCATCTGGAATAAAAACTAATTCTGTTTTCGACTAGATCAAACACCATCAGTCGTTTATGGTTCCTTTGGCTGCCGCAAACCAAACTACCCAAATGCACCCCAAGCCTAGTACCAGCCACAGCTAGCTTATCTGTTCAAACAGTGCTTTCCATTCGTTCAAAGAATGTGGAACCAGCTAGAACATATGGCCCACCTTTAAGATATTTTAGTTTAAAACTGTCATTCTGGAATTGGCCATTCCACATCAGGAATTCAGGGAGAGGGAAAACGTAAGAAACAGCGTGGGAATGTTTCCCAAACAGATGCTTGCTTCCTGTAACTCAAGAGAAGAATGTTAAAGAAAACAGAGTCTGGGAGATCAAAGCTACCTTTGATTAAGTGGTCACAAACTCATAAGTTCTTCCACTAATACTGAAAGTTCATCTTTTCAGCTACGACAGGAATACCAGCGTCCTCCCTGAGAACTAGAAAAGTACTCACCATCAGTAAAGTCGGCCTCGTCCTCATCATCAGGGTCGCTGTCCTCTGCGGGGGCCCTGTAAGGGGGTGGCAGCTTCATCGGAGGGGGTGCCCCGCCCCTTCTCTGCGGGTTGCAAGAAGGACAGAAGAGTTCATTATTGGCTTTCCAATCTTCACTGCAAATGACAAGCTGGACGAAACTAGAAATTAGCAAGAGCGCTGGGAAAAAATCGAACGGCAACACACCCTTTCTCTGACCTTGGGATCTATGAGCAGTTTGGCCAACGTCAACTATTCTCTTACAGCTGTATTGGTCAAGGGAGGAGATGCTGTGATTTCCGAGTGGAACCAGGAATCCGAAATCACAAGAGTCCACTCTATGGCTCATTGCTTTAACCTGAAGATTATATTACTTCCCCAAAGAGGAAATGGTCCCAATCTACATGCCACTTTCAGGTTTAATATACAATGAATTGTATCAGATATTGACCCCCCCCAAAAAAAAACAATTCAAAATCAAAGATACTTACTGAAAATGCAGCCAAAATGAAATAAATCCAAATCGTGGCCAGAAATTGGCTTTTCATTTATGAGATAACAGAGTTTCTTTTTCAAGTGGCAAGAGCCCATAAGAGACAGTGGAGATTACAGCCACCTGAACTCCAGGTATGCCGCTGACCCATGGCTTGGCTTTTGTTTATCCTTCTACACATCACCAAGGTTAGGAATTTGCCCTTAGCATGAGAATTTTAGAACATCTCATGCGGCCAATGTCTCTGCTTGAAAGACATTTCATTGTATACAAAACACCCTAAACTGAAATAAATTCAATTAAGAGACAATAAAATCTATGGCAAGATTACCTTATCCGTGTACCAATAGTTCTTTCGATACCGGGGGGAAAAAAAAAACATGCTAAATCTCTAGGAGAGGACGAGGCAGCTAATGAGAGGGAGAGCAGGGAGGTCTAGGCAAACCATAAATCTCCAAGTAACTGGGTTACAGTTTGGTCAGATACAAGATTTCCCTTTTTATATTCAATTAGGTTTCAAAGAACAAAGTGGCTAAGAGCAGGAAGCACTTTAGCAAGCTGAGAATAACTGGTCTGTGATCATAGCCAATCTGAAAGGAAGCCATCCCTATGGCAGAGAATTGTTATTTGGAAGGCAAACATTAAATGAAACGAATATGATACATTCATTCCATAAACATTCATTAAGGGCCTGTCATGAACCAGGGACTGTGTTAGGCACCTAGGTTACTAAGGCACATTGAGACAGGCCCATCCCACTTCAAGCAGCCCACATTTCATAAGGGGAAGAGGGAGATAACATGGTCCCAGAAAAGTAAAGACAAAATATATACAAAAATTTGGGGGGAAAGATGCTGAGCTGAGCCTTAAAGGGACCTTGAGACCATAAGAGGCAGAGGCGGGAAGGAAGAGCACCTAATTCCAAGATACGGACAGAGGCACAATGAAGTGAGCAGAACCAGGTGAACAATTACTACCACAACTATATTGTAAAGGGAAACAACTCAGAGACTTAGGAATTCACACAAATCCAAGAGACTCCCAATGGAATCTGCTCCCACCTGCAGACAGAAGCTGATGGACCATGAGGGCAAACTGAAGTCTATTTTTAATGAAGGGGAGGGGTAGGGAGGGAGGAGGACAGGGCTAATGTAGGAATGTTTAACTTGACCATACGTGTTTATACCAGGATTTGAGTTGGGATTTTTTTTTGAGGGGGGCGCAATTGGGATTAAGTGACTTGCCCAGAGTTGCACAGCTAGTAAGTATCTGACACGATATTTGAACTCAGGTCCTCCTAACCCCAGGGCTGGTACTCTATCCACTGTGCCACCAAGCCGCCCCTTTTCTAATTCACTTTTTTTTGGGGGGGTGCTAGGCAATTGAGGTTAAGTGACTTGCCCAGGGTCACACAGCTAGTAAGTGTCAAGTATCTCAGGCTGGATTTGAACTCAGGTCCTCCTGACATGGGGGCCAGTGCTCTATCCACTGTGCCAGCTAGCTGCCCCAGGATTTTTTTCTTGACTTTGAAATGAGTGGGGGAGAAGATGGAGAGAATTTAAAACAGAAAATAAAATAAAATAAAGCTGAATTGAAAAACAATATCAACTCAAAAAATATCCAGCATCAGCTGTGTGATGTGTGGAGACATGAGGTGAAGTGCTGTATATGACCTACAGCCAGTAGGACAACATGAATGGAGAGAGAAAGTCTATGTGGAAAAGATGAAGTCAGATGGTGAAATGCTTTAAATACCAAACAGAGAAATTTGTATTTTATCCTAGAGGCAAAGGGAGCCAGAGAAGACCCACACTCAGCAGGGGGATGAAATGATCAGGTAGAAATAGCCATGTGGCATGCAGGAGGGTGGGAGGCAGTGCCATCAGTCAGAAGGCAATTGCAGTAGTCCACCTAAGAAGCAATAAGGGCTTTTTTGGGTGAGTTGGGATAACGTATTTGGGGTGGGGGGGAGGGGGGAAGGCTCTAGACATGAAGGTGTTTTTTGTTGTTGTTTTTGTTTTTAACTGTAGAAAGCTCCTTCTAACACTAATCTGATCTCTTCTGTAACTTACAGCCTAGGAAAGATTTGTCTGGGATACAATGACTGACTGAATGAAAAAGCACTAATTAATCACTTACTATGTCTCAGGAACTACTATAGGGATGCCATCTCATCATGACATCATGCTGCCTCTTGTTACATTTGGTGAATTAAATTAAAAAATGCAGATTCATCACAATACAGTCAGAGGTGTTTACACTGGAATACATTGCTGAATACTTACATATGTGTGCAGAGACACTGGGCTGTAAGAAATAGGAGTGCACTGACTGAAATAATGACAGCAAATTGCAAAGCTTTGCACAAGACTGAACATTGCTAATGCAGCCCTAGGTCCTTGGTCCAAATGAGGAGCAGTTGGGAATCACGCATAATGAAACAGCCTCAGGCTCACGGTGGCTTCACCAAAGAGAATTTAAACTTCGATCTTTGCAGAAATCCCTGCTGAGTTTCCACTCGTGCAGTACTGGATTGTCAGAGTACCTGCCTAGTTTTCACTCAGATTAGGGCACTTATAGGATGTACGTATAGATGCTTGAATGACCACCTGCAGGTTTGTAGAGAGGACCATCTTCTCAAAAAGCTAACAAAGAGGACCAACGACATAGACATGGATCTCAATCAGGGCAACAGTGCTGGCAAAAATGAAGGATGCGTGCTTGGTGGGCAGGATCCCATGAAACAAGAGAGCAGGAAATGGAAAAAGGGAATGAATGAAGGAGAATGAAAGGAAGAAAGATGATGGGAGAATAAGAGAGATACAAGGAAGGGAAAAAGGAGAAAGGAGAGAAGGCTAGAAAGAATGAGAGATGGAGAAAAGAGACAGGAAGAGAAGGAAGATGTAAAAAGGAGGGGGAAGGCAAGAGAAGAAAGAAGTGAAAGGGAGAAAAGGAAGGAAAGAAGGAAGAAGGGAAAAGAAGATCTAGAAACAACTTTAGAAGCCTTGCGGTCCAACCATTTAATGAGTAAATTGGTGCCAAGGAAGCTGTGGTTTGTATTAAGAAACCAGGAAGACAGTAAGAAGGAGGAAGTAAGAAAAAGGAGAGAAAAGTAATGAAAAACTGTTTGTTAAATTCTTTCTATGAGCCTGGAACAGTGCTAAGAATTCAAGATGAAAGGCCAGCTCTTCCTGGGCCTCAAGGAGCCTACATTCTTAAAGAATATAGATTAAATTGTTTTATTAAGTAATTAAGAATTAGATTACATCTAACAGAAGGAGATGACACTTAAAGGGAAATTGCGAATGGGACTATGGAAGGTAGACAGCATCTGCAAAGTGGCAAGGTTTTCATATTGGTGGGAGGTGGCATGTTGGCTGAATCATGGGTAAGATGTAGTGAAAGGTTAGCCATAAATGCCCAGAATTCCAGAGAACAAAGTCTGGGTTCAGTGGGAACAGGAGAAGGATGGCCAGAATGTAGGTGGGGAAGAGGCTGGTAGAGAGAGGGGCTCTTGCCTCCAAGTCAGTATTGTATCCACCATACCCCCAAGCTGCCCTCACAAGTTCTCCAAGATGAAGGACAATGCCTTATTTGTGTCCGACCAAATTCTTAAAAATTATTTTGCAAGGCCAGGATCACAGAATAGGTGAAGCAGCGTCATACAGTAGATAGGGTTCACTGGCTCTTGAAGGAGCAGGCCTGAGTTCAAATCCCACATCTGACATCTCAGTACCTGGGTGACCTAAGCCAACTCATTTAAGCTACCTGGGCCTCAGTCATGTACCTGTGAAACAAGAGGATTGGAAGAAAAAGGAGCCTGAGGTCACTCCTTGAAGAAGATCTGGGATCTTACAAATCACAGAATTTCAAGAGCTAGAAGGGACCTTTGTGGTCATCCACTACTGAAGAATACCCCAATTGATAAACAGTGAAAGGAAATGAACAGGCAGTTCTCAGATGAAGAAATCAGAGCTATCTACAGTCACATAAAAAGATGCTCTAAATCACTATTGATCAGAGAAATGCAAATTAAAACAACTCTGAGGTTAACACCTCACACTTATCAAATTGGCTAATATGATAAAAAAGGAAATAGTGGATGTTGGAGGGGATGTGGGAAAACTGGGACACTAATGCATTACTGGTGGAGTTGTGAACTGATCCAAGATTCTGGAGAGCAATTTGGAATTGTGCCCAAAGCACTGTAAAACTGTGCATACCCTTTGATCCAGCAATACCACTTCTAGGTCTGTATCCCAAATAGAGAAAAAAAAGGGAGATGAGGTGAAAGGACCTGCTTGTACAAAAATATTTACAGCATCTCTTTTTGTGGTGGCCAAGAACTGGAAATGGAAGGGATGCCCATCGGCTGGGGAGAAAGTCGCATATAGACAGGGAAAAGTGGTTAACGAATGAAGTACAAGTCTCCAGATAAAGAAGACCTGCCTTCAAGTCCCATCTCTGACACATACTGACCTTCTGACCCTCAGCAATGATTTAACCTCTCAAAGCCCAAGACAACCCTCTGAGAGCAAGTGCTAATAAGCATTGGCATGGGGACTTTCCTTACTGGGAGCTCCCTAGGTATTCCACTTGTATACACATATATGTATATATTTGCATAGGTACACACGCGCACACACACACACACACACACACACACACACACACACACACACACAAAAGACTATGTGAATTCCAATAACTGAAAAGTTCTCATTGTTAATTAACAGGTTAATTAATCAGGCTGAAGTTTCCTCTACATGAAAACATCTTTGCTTTCAAAGTCTATGAAAAAGGGGCTATTACTCTTAAGTGACATTTTTAAGACATGCTTAGAACTGCTGGAAGGGTTTCTGGGGACTGGACAGACCAGCCATCTACCCACTCTAGCATCTTCCTCTGCAGGCCCTCTCCCCCAAAGCTGAATCCATCCAGTTGGTGAATAGCGGGCCAATACTCCTGAGATCGGCAACACATCTCATCTGTTGAAGCGCCAATACATCCATCCAATGTTTCAACTTAGAGCGCTAAGTAGGAAGAGCTACTTTTAAGAGCTCGAAAAGTCATTAGGCCGTTGACCCTGCCAAGCAGTAAAATACAGCTGGGTCCACAGAGATTAAGAAATGCAGGAATCAAATGGACATTATAGGAAGTCATTCCGAAGTTCTGAAAAATTAATAACAAAAGAAAAAACCTGGAGTCCCAGGACATAACTTTTCCCTTGTTATTACAGGAGGGATGAGGGTGTGTGAAAGCCCTGATAGCATTAACACTTTACACTTAGTCATCTTAGAAAGCTAATAGATATCGAGTATGCCCTTAACAGATGCCCACTGAAAAACCTTTTCTTATCTGAACTGATGGATACACCTGAGGCCACGCCCACTCATAACCTTCCATCCAGCAGCCTTCTTACACTGGCAAAATTACAACCCCTACTGCCACCTCCTCTGATTGGTCAGTTTGTCACAGACCCTCCATGCCAGCCCCTCTCACCTTGAACCTGGCTCCCACTACAACTTCTCCATTGGTCTAATAGCCCCTTCTATCCCTTGCTCTTTTCAGATCCCTTTAACGTGGGGTCTTCTTCCTTTGGAATGCAAATACCCTAAGTGAGGCACTGTCTTTCTTTTTTACTTCTGTTTGCATTGTCAGAGGTTAGTACAATGGCACACAGCAAGCACTTAATAAATCCTATGTCTCTCTGTCTGTGCCTGCCTTGCTGTCTGTCTATCTACCCATCCATCCATCCATCCATTCATCTATTTATTGATGCAATTGTCCATCTAAGAAAACAAGTAATAGGTGGAAATTGCAAAGAGATAAACTTGAGCTTAATGTAAGGTAAATCTTCCCAACAATTAGAGCTAAAGAAAATTTTAATGGCCTGCTTTGGGAAAAGTTACCAATTTTTTGAAGAGATCTCTCGTCTTTCCCATTCTATTATTTTCTATTTCTTTGCTTATTTAAGAAAACCTTCTTATCTCTCCTTGCTATTCTTGGAATTCTTCACTCAAGTCTTTCTCCTTTCTCTTTCCTTCTTTCCTCAGCTCTTTGTAAAGCCTCATCAGGCGCCATTTTACTTCCTTGCTTCTTTTTCTTTGTGATGTTTTTTGTTGCTGCCTCCTTTAAAATATTATGAACCTCTGTCCATAGTTCTTGAGGCCCTCTATCTAACAGATTTAATCCTTTAAATCTGTTCATCACCTCCATATTTATAAGGGATGTTATTTAGGTGGATCCATATGGTCAGATGGTTTTCCCTCCATTGTTCAATTTAAGTTTGAATGCTACAATTCTTGTTTTGATTAACTATGTAGAGCTTCTCCTTGGGCGGCACAATAAATTATCAATCTCATGAAATTATACAAATGGTCATTGACTGATACTTCTCCCATAGGTAATACATCTATAAGCTTCGAATAAATATCCTTAAGCTGTATTTTGTATTATTTATAAGTATACAAATCTTACATCTCTGAGTGACTGCACAGTACTTGAGGGAAGGAACCAAAGCTATAACCAGGGCAAATTGACTGGGAGGTTGTCTCAGGACAGTGAAATTTAGAGGTGTTTGATATCGCAGAGAAGCCTTTAGTAGTGTAGAAACAAATGTGTTTGGTACGTAGATGTGAGTGAGAGACAGACAGACAGACAGAATGATGGATAGAACAGATTTGGAGCAAGAATGTTTTATATATTTGTTATACACCAGTCATTGTGCCACATACTAGTGTATTGATGAGCAAGAGAGTCTCTGACCTCATGGAGCTTACATTCCAATGAGGAAAGACAACCCATTAAGGGAATTTAGAGGGAGTTGACAGCACTTACAACCCGTCAGAAGTGTAAAAACAAACGTATTTAGTAGATAGACATGTAATTTGGAGCAAGAATGTTTTGCAGACTTACTGTATGTCAATCACTGTGCTTCATGATGAAGATACAAACACCAGTTAGCAAGTTTGTTTGTGGACTGTACATTCAAATGGGGGAGCCATCCCATAAAAGGGAGTTCAAAAGAATAATTAGTCAAAATAAGAGTTACCAGATGGCCCACTTCTTCCTCTAGGTACCTCACACTGGTCACTCCAAGAGGACACTTAGTGTGCGGCAGGGTCTTTTACTTCTTTCATCACACAGCAGGTCACCACAAGGGTCGTTCCCTGCCCCATCCCCTCGAAATTGAATGTTTCTGATAAAGTCAACTTAACTCTTGTTTCATGCTTCAAATACAATAACTATTAGTAGGATTGCAGCAGGGCTGATATCTTACTTATCTGTCTCCAGAGACCTGCTATGGCGCCAAACATGAAGCAGTTACTCCAGAAATATTTACTGTCTGTCTTGTTTCAGTAGAAAAAGAACAAATGATAGCATTTCACTAAGAAAGGAAGTGAGCAGTCACCTTTTCGTTTCTATCTTCTTTTTCTTGGTCCTGGGTTTTGGAAGGATGACTGGTCTTGGAAGTCACAGGAGGGATTACCTGTCCCCCACACCCCAAAAAAAAAGTATTAAATTTCAAACAATTATCTAATACTGCTCTGTGAGATTTACGAGTAATCCTTCTATGAAATTTATGGGAAATATTCTCTGATGCATAAGTGAAGTAACTCAATGCATTCACTTAAAAACCTAATACACAAGAAGGATGATGGTTGAGAATAAATACAGCTCAGGAAATGCTACAGCTCATTATGGACTATAATAATATTGAGATTGCTTAGATCATTCAGAGGACTAGGTTTCACAGGAAAGGAAAATTAGTTTGCATCTCTGGAGCTGAAATGTGGTTGGAGAGAGAACAAAGGAGGCACAGAAGGGCAAGGATGTTGTTTAGGGTCTGCCCCAAATCTCATTTTGTGATAAAAAGCTCCCAGGAGTAGTATCCAGGTCAGAAATCAATTACTAAGAAGGTAAGATAAAGGCATTTAATTTGATAGAATATTGTTAAAACATTTCTAAGAAAGATGGCACCATATAGAAATGAACCTGAACCACAGGGGGGGCAGCACTAACTGGGAGTTAAAAGCAGGAGAATTAAAGGAAGGACATCAGGAAGAAGAGATCTCAGGAGGAACTTGTACTAGAGTTCCTTTGATTGCACCACTCCTTGCAGGCATGCTATGCCCATTCCCCACAGTGGCCCATAAAATCTTAGAAGAGCTTTAGCTCCTGGGAAGTCCCTTCCTCCACTTTAAACTCATCCTATGTCAGCATCTCTGCTACTTCCAGACACTGCTCCTAGTCCTGCCTTCTGGGCCCAAAAAGAATAAGCTAATCTCTTTTCAGGTTAATATTCATAAATGGAACTTGGACAAATCATGTTGATATTTCAACCTTCCCAACTCCATCTGTCTGTTCCTCAATTTCCATGTTTATAAACAGATCTTAAAGTAATTTATTTTCTTACCTCATAAGACATTTAATAAAAAGAAGAAGTTTGGAGGTAACTCAGATGACTAACTTCTAAGATAAGTGGATGAGATCAGTGGAAGAAACTGGGGGGGGATTTATTGTAGAGAAAAGAAGACTTAGGGAGCATGTGTAAAGTACTTTAAGTACATGAAGGCTGTCATGTGAAAGCAGGATACTTGGCCCCAGAAGGAAGAATTAGGCATCATGGTTGAGAATTGCAAAGGGATAAATTGAGGCTGGATGTAAAGAAAAACTTTCCAATGATGAGAGATGTCCCAAATTTAAATGGGATGCAGAGGGCATAAATTGTTGTTCATCACTAGACATCTCTCATGGGCAGGAAGGAAAGGAGGAAATAGGCATTTCTAGATCTTGTCAAGTGCCAGGTACTATGCTAGCCACAGAATGACCACGGAATGACATGGTCCATTATGAAGTGGAAGGGATTCTTGGACCCATGTGGGTGGAAACACAGGAACTCTTAGGCCCTTCTTAACTCTAACATTCTGTAATTTTCAGCCCATGGTATCACTCTGATAATGGAGCCACATTATCAACAGCAGAAGATTACGTTTAGAAGGGACTTCTCAACCCATTTGCTATAACCCAGTCAATATTCAGAAGAGGAATGTGAGTCCTACAGAGATAAAATGACTGGCTTAAGTGCATAAGGCTAGGAAGTGGCAAAGAACGATATAAGATCAAAGATCCAAAGATGCAAGGGACTTCAGGTCATCTAGTTCAACACTCTCATTTTACAGATAAGGAAACTGAGCCCCAGCAAGGTTAAGTGATTGTCACATACAGAAGTAAGCAAGAAAGACTGAATTGGAGGCAAGGCCTCTGACTTCAGATGCAGGGCTCTTTTCACTACCATGCACGGGAGAGTTACAGACCTTGAAAATCACTAATCATCACGTCTCAGAACTTGGCAAATCCATGAGCAGTTACATATTAAGTGAAATTGAAGCTCTGAAGCCATCCTTCTTTCAAAATAAATATATGTGTTTTGGAACCACCAAATGACAAGGATGGCTTGGCTTAAATCAGAACGTGAAGCCTCTGCATCAAAGGCAAAATAGAGTTCATGTCCACGTTCCTGAAATTGGACCCAAAGGTGTGAGAACAAGTCCTGGTTAAGAGAGAGCTGAGACCCCAGGAAGAGGAGGTATTCCAGAAATGTCTGGAAGACACTTAAAGTCTAAGACCGCTTACCCTGGGAGTGGACGACAGGCTCTGTACAACAAAAACAACTGGATTTCCAGCACTCTTGATGGCTTCCACAGCTTCTTGGTGCGTTGCATTTTGCAAATCAACACCGGACACCTGAAAAGCACAAAGAGCTGACCGCATTTCCATAGGTGTTTAGTGGATTTCACAGATGGTCACAACAGTGCCTGTGAGTGTTTCAGGTAGAGATCAGGGACACGGAACAAGTGTAACTGACAGCCAATAAAAATTCATTTTGCCAAATTTAACAATGGCACAAAATCATTTTTGAAAGAAATCTTAATATTTCAAAACAATGAAAAATACGCGTTGGTTAATGAGACATCATTTGTAGGGGGAGCATGGCAGGTGGACAGCCTTGGATTAGGTCATCATCATAATCACGCTCAGCTCAAACAACATCAAAAGCTGTCCCTCAACTTAAAAAATGTCACATGGGACACATCACAAGTCAGCATGCCTACTGGACTGGACCTGAGATTTCATTAATACAGGCAAACCTCTTTGCCAAGATAGATTAGACACTTCCTCTACAATGTATAGTCTCTTTATCTCTGTCTGTTTCTGGTTACAAACACGTATGTAAATAATTTATTAAATATATATTGAAAATCTGTTCAACACATCTATATAATATTAAAAATATATTGAATATATTGAAGAGATATGGAAGAAATATTCAATATATAATGAATATATTCAATATATCAATATATTCTATATATAGAGACATGTTATTGTTCAATTGTTTTTTGGTTATGTCTGACTCTTCATAAGCTCATTTGGATTTTCTTGGCAAAGATACCGGGGTGGTTTGCTATTTCCTTGTCCAGCTCATTTTATAGATGAGGAAACTATGGCAAACAGGGTTAAGTAACTTGCCTAGGGTCACACAGCTATTAAGTGTCTGAGGCCAGAACTGAACTCAGGAAGATGAATCTTTATAAAACTCTAGGCCCAGCACTTTAGGCACAGCATCACTCTATCCACCTAGATGCCCAATTGCCCAAGACGCTGAAAATATCCTCATCATTATACGCATAGATAATTAAGAAACTTAATATAAAGACAAGTCTCTGGATATAGAGGGCACCTTAGAGATATCATATAACATTCATTTCAACTGGGATCTAAGTTAGTTGTGGCAACAGTTGGCTGGATTTTGAGTCAGAAGAGACAGTGCCAGACACACAAAAGGTGTGTCAAAAATGACTGTTATTTCGTTCATTAAGTGTTCATTAACCTCCTCCTCTATACTAGGTGTTGAGCTGGAGATATAAAAATAACAATGAAAGCAATTATTCAATTAACAGATGAAGAAAGTGATGCTCAGAGAGGCATAGGAATCTGCCATGGCCACAGAGTGAATGAATGAAAGAGGAGAATCCATTGTAACAGCAATGTTTCGGTAAAACAGCCAGGACGAGATGGTCTCTGAGGTCCCTTCCAACTCTGGGACCTTGTGAAATCGCCGTGTTCTAATCTAGGCAGCCCAAGAGGGAGAGAAGGAAGGCGTCTGAACGTCAGTTCCAGTACAGACTGAAAGAAACCTGCCTGGGGCCAAATGAGGAAAAAGTTTCTTCGAGCACCTAGAAAGGCAAGGCAGGACTTCCAAGAAGGCAGAGGCCTAAAACGGTAATACCTAATAAACACAATGCGAAGGAGGTTTCCAGTGAGGGGCTGCAAGGCAAGCCATGCCCCCTGAAACTGACATGGCCCACTCCCTCTATCAGCAAAGAATGAAGTCACAGATTCCCAGGGGCCAATGCTTCAGTCCAGACAGGAACGGGGCTCTCGCTGGCACGGAGGCTTCAAATTTAGAAATTTGTGAAAGACTGTGGGAGAAGCGTGATTTCCACCATCTGTCTCATTTGGTGAAAAAGTCCTTTTAAAATCTGTTTCTTTTTTTCTTTTCTTTTCTTTGTGGTGACACACGGCAGCCTTGTCCAACTGTGGCCATGGTGACCAAATGAGGGTCTTTGGAAAGACACAAAGCACACACATACTCCCTCTCCCTCCCCCCGACACTACGCATACAGCCCCCCAAGCCTTCCATAGCAGTGAAGTCTGTATATTTCAGCAAGACGCTATTTTTACCTCCAAGATTTTGTCTCCAGTTTTAAGAGCCTTGGTCCTTCCGGCTGGGCTTTCATCTAGGACCTGCTTGATAAAGATGCCTTTCAGTTCTTCTCCATTTTTCAGGCGTTTGATCACCATCTGCCCACCCACGATACTGATTCCGAGAGACTCGTGGGCTTCTCGCACGACCTCCACACTGCAGAAGGACAAACAAGCATCATGCTTTTCCTAGCTCAGGAAGAACCTCACGGAATTTTGGAATGCTGGGCACCTGCTGTGTGCATGGACCAGGGGAGAATCATCTTTAGCACCACCAAGTCTGAGCCCTCCTGGAACTTACAGTCCAGCTGGGGCATAAAGACAAAACAGAAGGAGCATTTACACAGCTCCTTAAGCTCTGCAAAGAAGCTTACACAAGTTGTATGACTTATTCTTCACAGGATGCCTGGAAGGGAGGGGCTAGTATCATACCCATTTTAAACTGAGTGGTAAAATGATTTCATATAGGTCATAAGCATCAGAGGCAGGACTGGAACTCAGATCTTTTTCTCTCCCAAACACTACCTAATACCCCCATTTCAACAGAGGACTATCTCTCAGGACCAATGAGGTGAAATGTCCCACTGCAAAACCTAATCCCACTTCTTTTTTTAAATTTTTGTACTTCATAGTATTTTTCCCCCAATTACATGTAAAGGTAGTTTTCAACATTCATTTTTGCAAGATTTTTAATTGAAATTTTTCTCCCTCCCTTCTCCCTTCCCAAGACAGCAAGCAATCTGATATAGATCACACATGTACAATCACATTAAACACATTTCTACACCTAATTCCATTTCTAACCCTGGTCAGACCACATCCAGAGCACTGTGTTCAGTTCACATACTATGGAATGATGTCAGCCTACAGCATGGGCAGCATGGGTGACCCACACAACTAAGTATTCCCATAATCCATGAAGATATTTAAGGGATCTGGATGGGATAACTTTGGGCAAGAGAAGAGAAGGTTTAAGGAGAAAAGAAGAGCTGTCCTGGGGTATTTGAAGGACTGTCCCAGGGAAGAAAGATTAGACTAAACACAAGGACAAGAAGGGTAAAGATTATTGCATAGTAAGTTGACTGAGAAATGCTCATTAACTACCTATTATGGTCAAGATATTGGGCTTAGGGACCAAAACACCCAGTTCGGGGTACCATAGTCTAGAAAGTACACTGGGAAAGTAGGAAATGGTCAAAGAAAGCTACCCAAGATGGTGACCAGCCCTGAGCTCCTCTCATGGGACTGGCTGAAAGTACGGGAGATTGTTAGCCTCCAGAAGAGAAGATGCAAGTATTTAAAGGATTATTATGTAAAAAAGGGATTGGACTTGCTCTGTTTGGCCCAAGAGAACAGAACGAAGACTCAGGAGATGAAAGTACAAAGTGGAAAATTAAGACTTGTCAGGAAAACTTTCCCAAAACCCAGGAAAGGCAAAGGCCTGCCTTGGGATTTACTGCAGCTAATTAAATATATGTCCATGTTAGGTTCCAGGCATTGTATGCAGGGGAAAGAAAACTCTGAGTATGATCATTAATGAGTTAAATGTGAGTTAATGAGTACAATGCTTTGTAAACCTAAAAGCACTATAAAAACTTTAGTTATCAATATTATCATGAAGGACAGGGGTAAGCTAGAAGGTATCAGGGCAGACAGCAAACAGGATGCTGAGGGGCCTTAAGGGAATCAATCTATAAGCACGTATTAAGGGCTTGTGCTGGGGTTACAAAGACAAGAGAAACAGTCACTGCCCTCAAAGAGCATACAATCTACAGCAAAGACAACATGTATAGCATATCTGGTTTATGTTTACATGTAAACTAAAAATAGAGAAAGCTGGGGTGGGGAGGAGATAAGTGGGTAAATAAACACTTATTAAACACTTACTAAGGGCCAGGCACTAACTGGACTAAGCACTGGTACAAATAAAAAGAAATAGTCCCTGCCCTCAAGGAGCTTATAATCTCACGGTGAAAGACCACAAAGGAAGCTGAAAGTGGAGCATGGCAGAGAAGTCACAAATCAGTGTAGCTGCTGAGAAATGGGGAGAAAATTGTGCTGGGATCCCTCATTAAATGGAGGCTGAAGTCAGAAGATCCTACTGAGGGGCCAAAGGTACAGGAAAAAGCTTCAGGTCTTTGCAGTGAGCTTTGAAGGAACCCAGGGATTCTGAGGGCAGAAAAGAGGAAGGCTGCCATTCTAGGCATGGGAGACAGCTGCAGAGGAGAGAGGGGCATGGATCATGTGTGAAGAACACCCTGGGGCAGGGGAGGGGAGTGGGGAAGGGGGAAAACTTTGACTAAAGTGAAGGAAGCATGAAGAGGGGCAAAGAATAACAAGCCTGAGAAAGCAGACTGGAGTCAGGAGCTGTAGGAGCAGCAGGCACTCAATGCCCTTGGGTACTACTGAAGACATTGTTCACGTTTAACGATTATGATTAGGAGGGGATGGGGAGGATCGGCTGGACCTGTGATTTCATTAGTAAAGTTCCCTCTGCCCCTGCCCTTGGGCATCTGGGCTGACCGGGCCCTGAGCTGTTAATTCACTCGTCTGGAGTCACAAAGTCAGTGTGCTTTGCAGGAGACTGGAACCCTGGCTGCCTTCATGTGGAGGCTAGCTATCTGTCTACTATGCCATCCTTCCTTTCAAGTACTACTAACCCAAACATAAGGGATTTACATACAGTCACACAGCAAGGGTGTGTCCAGAAACCTGTAGATATGCCAGATGGGAAGGCTGGTCCTGTGCCCACGATGCCATGCAGTATCTCAGGTCTGATTACCCCAGTTTTGTAAATCAGTCAACTGAGGGATTAAGCATCCATCCGTAGTCACACAAGCAAGCACATGAGCCTCCTTCAAAGCTCATGGTAAATGCCGCCTCCTACCTGAAGCCCTTCCTGTTCTTTGGCCCCCACCTAGCTCCCCCACCTAGCTGCCCCCAGTCCCCTCTGTCGCCCTGACTGGACCCTCTGATTTGAGGGCAGAGCCATGGGCCCCAGGGCCTCCACTTGAGGAGGGGGCCCAGCACAGTCTTCTCATTTCCCCCCAGCTACATGGCTTTTGGACATCTCTATCATGCCTCAGGCCTCTCTTGTAACACTTCATCCAGGAGGCTTTCTACTGGCACCATATTTTTTTCTCTTTAAAAACACATCTCAGGGGCAGCTATGTAGTGCAGTGGATAGAGCACTGGCCCTGGAGTCAGGAGGACTTGAGTTCAAATCCGGCCTCAGACATATAACACTCACTAGCTATGTGACCCTGGGCAAGTCACTAAACCCCAAAACGCCTCGCAAAAAACAAACAAGAAAAAACCCCACATCTCAGTGGCATCCAAAGACTTTGAGTCGCACAGAGAGGTCTCTTGGAGGCATAAATTGTTCTACAATGCTCCAGGTGTGCAACATTCTGGCCACACCTGACCAGCCTCTCTAATCAGAGCAAAGATGTCCTGACTAGGTCCTTTCGGGATGCCTTCCCCACTGCAGCCAGAATGCTCAGGGGTCCGACTGGAAGGGGAGGCATTAAAGGGTAAGGAGAAAGACTGATGGATTTAGAGCCAGAAGACCTGGATTCAAATCCAGACTTTGATATGTAATTCCTGTGTGGTCTCAGGAAAGTTACTTTACCATTTCCTCATCTGTGAAATGTGGAGGTCTGACTACATGGCCCCTGACACCCCACAATCTGGGATCCATGAAGTGACATGTGTAATTTTGGGCTTACGATCTCTCTGAGTCTCAGCTGCCTCATCTATATGCCAACAGCTACAAGCATTGACAAAGTGCTTTAAAATCTGCCAAGGACTTTATATACTATGTCACTTGATCATTACAGCAGCCCTGGGGGATAGGTGCTATTATTATTCTCATTTTACAGATGAAGAAACTGAGGCAAACAGGTTAAATGCCTTGCCCAGCATCATCCAGCTGGTAAGTATCTGAGTCAAGATTTGAACTCAGGTCTTCTGGACTCCAGGTCAGGTGCTCTACCCACTGAGCTATGAAGGTGCTGAAGTAGCAGGCAGCAGTGTGGTCTAGGATCTTTACTGGGATGCCTGGTGCAGTCACTTCTCTTCTGCTTCCTCATTGATAAAATGAGGACGGTCAAGCCGATGGCCTCTGCAGCCCCAGCCAGTCCTGCATAGAGCCCTGTCTGTATCCTAAGAAGGTTGAATATAATTCACTACAGCAAGAATCAGCCCAAATACCATTTAGTAAATGGACTGCAGGAGTCGTTTTGGCCAAAAATAATAAATGCTTGTTGACTTGAAACTGATTGCACTTGTGTGCGAGGAGTGAGGAGCCTGCCAATGTTTGCTAGGCTGGTCTGCTGAGTACAGCCTGAGCATTCCTCATTAGCCTGCACTCAAAGCCTTTCGAACTTGGCAGGACCCGGGAGAGTTCACAAGTGGAAGGGCCAGGAGCCCAAAGCCCCCTCAGATGCTAGCTCGTCCAATACGCCCATTTTACAGATTAGGGAAATTGGCATGCAGGGACACACAGATTTCAGTGTCAGAGGTGGAATCTGAACCCAGGTTTTCTGACTCCAAAGAAAGTGTTCTGGTGGTTGTTTCCCCCACTGACTCAAGTTCATGCTTCACTAGCAAAGCCCTCCAGAAAACAGGGTCATCTTCATAAGGAAGCAGTGCAGGACCACTTTTGGTGGGAGATGGGACCCTAACCTCATCCTAACAACATGAGCTAAGCACAATCTGGGATGCAGCTCCCAACCTCGGTCGTCCTGCAGGAGTCAGCTCAGGGGTGACTTCTTCTGAGACGCGGGCCCTGGTCCCTCCCCCACCCCCTCATCAGCACTTTCTCCCTCAGACCTGCGCACACACACCGAGGCTCCTTCCTTCCCAGTACTACGGAGGGTCTTCCAAAGCTCTTCCTTCATTTCACCGCTTTTGGGGTAGAGGATCTGGCCGAGGCAGCCCCCACACAGTAGGCACTTTATATAAATGACTGCTGAATTGGATTACCTAGTGGTGAATGGTCAAGGGTTTGCATGAATTTTCCCCAGCACTTAAAGTGAAAGATCTACAATAATCTTGTGTGCATGATTTGGGAAGCAGCATTTCCTCCCTCCAGCTGTTTATCCTTTCCCTCCCTCAGTTACTTTGGACATGTCTTAAAATGAATTGCACCCTGCTCCATTAGAATGAAATCTCCTTGACAGCAAGGATTACTGACTATTCCCAGGTCCCTGAGCTCTCTTGGCCTTGAATATCTTATAGAGACATCAGAATTACAGGGATGGGCTCTAAGTTTCTTGAAGATGGGTACTGTTTTTTACTACTAATCTTCTCAGCTGCTAGTGCCCCTTCTCATCCAAGATTATTTTTCCACTTTGCTTTGTTCATTCTCTCTGTATGTACAAGTATGCATGTGTATGTGTGTACACAAATATATATTTATACACATATACATATTTATGTACATTTAATATGTACATGATATCTAACACTACAGATGGGGAGCTCCTTGGGAGCAGAAATGGGTTTGTTTTTTTGTCTATATATGCCTAGAACTCATCTTCCTGAATTCAAGTCTGGCCTTAGACTATGTAACCCTGGGCAAGTCACTTAACCCGTTTGACTCAGTTTCCTCATCTGTAAAATGAGCTGGGAAAAAAAATGAGCTGGAGAAGGAAATGGCAAACTACTCTCTCTGCTAAGAAAACCCCAAATAAGGTCAAGAAAACCCCCGAAACAACCAAACAACACCCCAAAAAGCACCTACTATGTGCCAGGCACTATGGCATGCCAGCAAAATCCCAAATGTAATCTTGAAATGTTAAAACAACTGAAAAACAATGGTAAAACAACAATCTTAGAATCTTGCACACAGCCTGATACAGAAAACGACCTGGAATTTCATTTGATTTGGGGGCTTCCAGGTAAGATAGTTACCCCTATCCATACAAGTCGTTGCCTTCTCTGTAACTTTTTATTAATTATTTAAATTTTTTTAAATTTTCAGCTCCAAATTCTCTCCATCCATCCAACCCCTCCCCTACCCATTAGAGTGGCATGGAACCCTGGGAGAAGTGGCTTGCCCAGAGTCACATCATCTTTTTATGTCAGAGGTAAGAGTTGAACTCAGTTCCTCCTGGCTCTGGGTCCAGCTCTAACCACTGAGAAACACTGCCTCTGGCACATAGAAGCCATTCTATAATCCTTGTTGACAGACTGATGAACTCTTGTGGAATGGAATAGAACTGACTGCATCTCAGTCTATATAAGTATTATCACAATTTCTGAGACTTTAATAAAAAATGAACACGCTTCCCAACATGAAGTAAATGAACATGAAATTTTTGGTCACACTTTAAAAAAAATGAACATGAATCAACATACATTCGAGGTGGACCCCAGTGACTGAAGTTTGGGGTCTCTTCTCCTTCTCCTTCTTCTCTTTCTGGCAAATCACTGAGGAAAAAACCCAAAATATCAGTGAGTCACATTTTTGAAATAGGATTACCATCACAGTATGAGACAACTCATTTCCTAACTGGCCAATTTAATTTATTACATTTCCATCAAACAAGAAACCAGGGTCCACACAAAACAGAAAACTACTGGGAGTACAGAAAGCAAGCTACATTGAATGGCCCATAGTAAAAAGGGACTTATTTTATCCTTATCATCTAGGACCAAACCATCAAGGATCTTGACAGACTTTACAGCATTGGGCTGAATTTAATAAAATGAAAAAGGGATAAAATATAAAGTCTTGCATTTGGATACAAAAAAAATGAACTTCACATGGTAGATAGCAATTATTCAGAAAAGAATCTGATGATCTGAGTGGAATGCAAGCTTAGTGAGTCAACAACATGATGAGTGAGAAAAAACAAAAGGCTATTTGATCTGGAACTGCATTTAAAAAGCCATAACTTCCAGGAAAGGAAAAGAGATAGTCTCACTGTATTCTGCCCTGGTCATATCCTATCTGAAGGATTGTATGTCCTTCTGGATACCATGGTTTAGGAAGGATATTGATAAGCTACAGAGTATCCAGGAGCACAAGGAGGTGAGGGGAGGGCATGGACTCCCACGACATATGAGGTCAAGCATCTGCACATGTTTAGCCTGAAGAAGAGAAGGGAAGAAGGTACAGTTGTTTTCAATTATTTGAAGAAACTGTCAGATGGAAGAGAGATTAGACTTGGTCTTGTTAGCACTAAAAAGATGAACAGGAGCAATGGATAGAAAGTTGCAAGGAGTTAAATTTAAGCTCAAAACTGCGTCACAGTGGGAGCTGTCCAAAACTGAGATACGCCATCTCTAGAAATGGTGGATTCCACCTCCTTGGAGGTTTTCAAGCACAGGCCATATGACCATTGGTCAGAAATATCATAGAGGGTGGGACTGGCTCAGCATTGAGGCCCCTGCCAAATCTGAGACTCAGTGATGCTCTTTTCAAGCTTGAAGACGCCGATGATCAATTTCATTGCCCATGCGCATTGTACCATACTGCATAATCACCCAAATACAAGTAGCTTGAATGACATTGTTTCCCCGCTCTTGGTCAGAAGATGAATGACTAGCTGAGCAGAACAAACAGGCTGAGTGCACCAGAAAACAAATCAGGGGGCTGATGATCCACCTCTGAAAGTGAATGCTGCAGAAACAGAATGACCAAGCTGAGTAATGGAGAAGAGAAAGGAGAAGGAAGCTCCCACTTCCCTCGCAGAGGTGAGGGACTGTGGTGGCAGAACATAACCTGTCGAATTTTCCCAACACATTGGGTTGGTTGAGCTGCTATTCCCCTCTTTTTAATTCTTTATTATAACAGATAGTTCTCAGGGATGATAACAAGAAAGACGATGAATCGAACAAAGAAAGTGATATAGAAACAAAATTCACAATAAGGTTTTTTTTAATTACAGATATTCGTTGTAACAATACTTTGCTTTCTTTTGTTTGAGGATGTTTTAAGACATTATCCTGACAATGTGAGAAGGGAACTCTCCAAACCACACAGGTTCAGCTGTAATCCTCCTGCTTCTCTGGGATAGCTTCTCCAATTTCTCTGATCTACATTAGTCTGTTCCTACCAGGACAGCTCTCACAAACCTTTTGACACTCACAACTGGGAGGAATCTTAGAGATGGTCCAGAATGCTGAGGTCCAGAAGGCAAATGACTTGGCCAAGACTGCACAGATTACAATGTTCACACAACCACAGAATTTCAGATAGACGTGACCCCCAAAAGAGATACCTAAAAATAGTCTTTCCGAACATCACCTTCTACAAGAGGCTTCTTGTGCCTGCCTCCCCCCCCACCCCCTTAGGTAACTTTCCCTTTCATTTTTATGTATCTTGTATTAACTTCTCTGTAACTTTTCATTCTAGATAGTAATCTAGAACCCTAGAGGGAGAAGTGACTTGCCCGGGGTCCCACAGCCAATGTCACAGAGGGAAGATATGGAACCAAGTCTTCCTGCCTCCCAGGCCAGCCTCTGCTATGGCACATATGTTTTCTAAGGTTGGCTTCAGAGGACCAATGGGGAAATCTACTTCTGTCTTTGTAGAAGGGAGGAAAGAATGATGGGGGCAGAATCCTCAAAACTCAGTTTGACTGAAATGCTTTTATTGTTACAAGGAAGCTGTTGTGTGTGTGTGTGTGTGTGTGTGTGTGTGTGTGTGGTGTGTGTGTGACACAGAGAGAGACAGACGGAGACAGAGACAGGCAGAGACAAAAGGAAGAGGATACTGGAAAAAGGACAATTAGCAAATAAATAACGAGGCCCCTACCAGAACCCAGTCTTGCTAATGTAGCACTGGGCACTCATTCCATGACCCCAAATTAGTGATACCATCTCCTACCTATATTTATATAGTACTTTAATATTCACAAAGCAGTTTACATTATTGTGGTTGTTGCCATCTCTCTACAGCCTTATAACAGCCCTGTGTGGTAGGTACCACAGGTATTATGAACCACATTTTGCAGATGAGACAATTAAGTTTCAGAAAGGAAAGGTGACTTGTCCCAGGTCACAGGGCGAAAGAGTGCCAGATCATTTCCCAGACTCCAAATCCAGAGCTAACCACTGAGCATCCTTAAGTGCAAGTTCAGCATGAGAGACAGGATTCAAATGCAGGTGCCCTGATTCCCAATCTGGCACCCTTCCCATGATGCCACAGTGCCCCCTTTTCATTACATTCTGCACTGCAAGTTTAGCAAGTCTCAGCCAATCACTACGTCCAACTGAACCAAAAAATGCTATGCTCCATACAAAGTGGAACACAACAGGATGAGGGAGGAGGGGAACAACATTCATGAAGTACTTACTACGGGCCAAGCACTGTGCTGGCCACTTTACAATGTCTTCTTTGGATTAGCACACTTTGTCAAAGGTGAAACCCAACATCATAAACAAGGTGGGGAATAAAAAGGGGCAGTTCTCTTTGTCCCAGTATTTAACGTCTGAGTTTTCCCCTAAAGATATCAACTTTCCAACAAAAATATTCTTGTTTGAATCTCACTGATAATGATGAATGACCCAAGCTGCCTTCCATTAGAGTTTCATGTACGATGATGAATCAGCCCCTTCCAAAAGGAAGGTACATTTGGGACTCCAACCATTACAGACTTGTCTGTCCATGATAAACAAAGAGTTTGTAGGGAAATTGCTCCCTGGTGTCACAGTCCTGAGGATTCCAGGACCTGGGAAGGGCTTCCTCTACCCCATCAATACTCCTTTTCTTCCCATGCTTTTTCTTTAGTGTCACCAATAACTGAACTTCTGGGGAGCACTCGGAGCACTCCGGCTGGAGATAACACTTAGCTGTCCACATTATCTATTCTGGAGAAGGTCTCCAGGCTCCCATCTACCATCATTCTCACGGGGAGCCACACTTAACTCTGGCATCATAGCAGGAAAATCTGATGACAAACATTATTCCGTCAACCCAAAGATTCCGCTTCCCAAGGATAAACAAACTTCATGGGAAAAGGCCCTCCAGACAGTCTCATGGGATGAGTGCAGTCGTGGGCTTCATCTTCCTGGTACACAAGATACCAGGAGCAGATTTCCCCATCTGGAAAATGAGGGGGTTGGACAGGAGGATGTGTGAAATTGCTCTTAACTCCAGCTATGATCCTGTGGAGACCATCTGGGCCAGCCCATGTCAGCAGCCTAGGACGCAACGTTAGGGGCTAGAGTTTGGAAAGGACAGACACAGGAATGTTCTCCGTTCAGCTTTTTCAGGAGGGTGACCATGATCAGTTGATCAACAACCAGGTGTTCAGTGTTTCAAAGAAGTAGAGAACTTGACACCTCGCTAAACACAAAATTCAATCCTTTGATGACAGTGTATCCAAAATCAATTGGTCAACTTGTATTTATGAAATGCTGCAATGTGCCCAGTCCTGTGCTAAGCTAACTACAGAGAAAAAGCAGAAACAGTTCTCGATTTCAAAGAGCTTGCATTCTAAAGGAGAAAACATCATGTATATAAACAGAGATCTGCCAACCAATGAAACCACTAGTAAGCACCTACAGTGTGCCCACTATTGTGCTCTTTGTAGGAGATTGATGAAAGGTAGCCTTAAAAGAGAAGATGGTAAACAGCTTTGGAGGTCTGGCTGGGACACTCTCGAGTCTTTGACCAAAAGTAAATGGCTTAATCTATCTGGACCTTGGTTTCCTAATTTGGGGAAAGACAACTAAAGAAATTGAGGTGACATAAAAACAAAAAATATCAATTATTATTATTTTTTTTTAAAGAAAGCACAGGGGCAGCTATGGTGCAGTGGATAGAGCACCAGCACCAGAGTCAAGAGGACTTGAGTTCAAATCCAGTCTCTGACACTTGAGACTCACTAGCTGTGTGACCTTGGGCAAGTCACTTAGCCCTGATCACCTTGCCAAAACCAAAATGAAACAAAATAAAAAAAGAAAGCAGAACACAATAACATATTGTTTAAAAGAAACACAATTGAAATATTAAGCCCTAAAATAAAGGATTGCATAAATACACACACTCTCTCTTTGTAGGTATGTATGTATATGTGTGTGTGTGTGTGTGTGTGTGTGTGTGTGTGTGTATATACACACACACACACACATAAACTACATTTGTCTTTGAGGCAGCTAGATTACCGAAGTAGGGGATAGAGTATCCTCATGGCCCTACCAGTTTACAAGTATAGCTTTACAAAATGGACTTAGAAGAAAATCATTCATTTAGTTAGGAAAAGTCAACCTTCTTTTTTTTTTTTTCAAAGAAATAGCGGGCCTAATTCCAACCTGCGTGTTTCTATTCAGCAGTTTGGGGAGCTCCCATTAAACATAAGCAGCATTTGTATGTATCAACTCAGGCATATTCACATATGTGGCGCTCTGCTTGGTACAGCAGAACACTGAGACAGGAGGGGATCCTGAACCACAGGAGGGGATCCTGCACCACAGGAGAGCCAGGACACCCTGCCAGCCTGGACAGAAGGCTGCCCAACGGCCTCTCCAGGCTACTCGCAAGGGATGAATGATCAGCTTTTCTCTTGCCTTTACGTTTGAGATCAAGATGCAGTAAATATTCACCTGTGAGTAATTTGACAGGGCTTGTCTAGGGTGAGGGAAGGGGTAGGCATGTCCTCCAAGCAGGCCTTCAGCTCTTTTTGAGGCCCCCAGAGTGGCCAAGTCTCCTAGACTGCAGGTGCTAAGCCAGCACTTTGAGGCTCCAATGGCGGGAATCAGTTTATTCTCCCTACCTCCTCCGATGAAAGGGACTTCTGGGTTTTAACAATGAAAATCACAAACTGTAACTTTTGTAAAATGACATGCCAGGAAGAGAAGCCTCCTAACATGTTCTAAAATTAACAATGAGAAAAGGGAAACAGGGGGAGGGGGGCAGGGAGACAGACAGACAAATAGGTAGGTAGATAGTAGACAGATAGACAAAGATACAGATAGATAGATGATAGACGATAGAGAGAGAGGTAGATAGACAAGTAAGTAGGTAGGTAAACAGATGGACAGACAGATAGATGATAGTTAGATAGATAGATAGATGATAGAGAGAGAGGTAGATAGATAGACAGACAAGTGTAGATAGAAGAGAGAGAGAGAGAGAGAGAGAGAGAGAGAGAGAGAGAGACAGAGAGGTAGATAGACAGACAAGTAGGTAGGTAGATGGATAGATAGATAGATAGATAGATAAATAGATAGACAGACAGACAGACAGACACACAGAGAGAAGAAGGATCAGCTAACTGGGCAGGAGCTAGGAGCATACCATGTCTCTGCGGCATATTTAGATGGCAGTGACCCAGCCTTGGACAGTCCTCGCTTCTGGGGCAGCTGATAGACAGATACGTCTGCCGGCTCACTCTCCTGGGCCACTGCAGGGAGATCAACCAGCATTTCAGGGCCTTCTGAATCGCTTGTGATCCTCAGACCTGGAGGGTAAAAAAGCAGTATGTTAACAACAGAAAAGAAGGGCAGGTAATCCATGTCTATGCAATTTCCTAAGCTTGCCCTACTATGTTTGAGAACACTGCTTCTTAAACTGTGGGTTACAACCCACAGTTTAAGAAGTACTGAAGGAGTCCCAGGGGAAAAAGTTTAACAAGCTCTGTGCTAGACCCTGAAGATGGAGCAAAGAAAATGAGGCAGCCCCTGCCCTCAGTGAGTTTATGTTACTTTGGTGGGGGAACAGCAAGGTGACATATAAATACTAACTAGATACAAAGTAAATAAATATGGTCCTATGTACGCTTTAGGAAAATTACTTTAGCAGCTGTGTCCAGGATAGATGAAAGTGGGAAGAGGTCAGAGGCAGGAAGACTACTTAGAAGTTACTGCCATTACAGGAGGCAAGTGGTGATGAGAGCTCGAACAAGGGGGGAAGCTATGAGAGTGGACAGAGAAGGATGGGCATGGGACACTTGGTGAAGGTAGAAACAATTATTATTATTTGGCAGCCTGCTTGGAGATGGGGGAAAATGAGAAACAGCAGTCACGGAAGACACTGAGGCTGTGAGCCAAGATGAGTGGACGGATGGTGGGGATCTAAACAGAAACAGGGAGGTGCAGGAGAGGGTTTGGGGGAAATTTAATGAGCTTGGATTTACACATGTTGAGTTTGAGATGCCTGAGGGAAATCTGGTTCAAAATGTCTAACTGTCATGTTCCTAATGATGACAGGACAGGACAGAAACGAGGGGTGGAGATCTAGAACCGAACATCTCCTGCACAGAGATAATTGAGCCCATGTGAGCTGAGGGCACCAAAAATATGGAGCGAATAGAAGAGACTGGGAAAGAAGGGGCACAGAGCTTGGGAGGGCATCCCCAGTTGGGGGGTGCAGATGCATATGAGCCAACTCCAGAGACAGAAAAGAAGTGGTCAGAGAGGGAGGAGGACCAGGAGAAACACTGTCCTGAAAACCTAGAAAGAAGAAGAGGGTTGTCAGTGATGTCAACGGCTACAGAAAGGACAACAATAGCAACAGAAAAAAGGCCGTTCATCCACAAAACATGAAGACAAGAGTCATCTCCTTTGTAGGCCAAACATCTCCAGCTGCCTCAGCTAGATGTCTTGTGGCAGGAGCTCAAGGCCATTAAGGAAACTGCGCAGTACATGAAGGATGAACAGATCTTAAGGCAGAGGTCCATCCAGTGACTTAAAGGCTCAGTTCCTTACTGCTTCTGTTATGTTGGGCAAATCACTTCACCACACCGGGCCTCAGTGTTGTCATCTTCCTGACTCCAGGCCCTGCGCTCTATCCACTGAACCACCCAGCTGCCCCGTAGAGCTATAGCTTACAGGTATTCTTTGTGGTCAAGTCACTAGGACCCCAGACTCAGGAAACAGTAAAAAGCAGGCAAGCAACTGAGGAGTTGTGGGGTGAAAGCTATGAGAAGGGATGTAGAGACATCAAAAGAGGCAGGAAAGTTCAAAGAAAGAAGATTTTCAGGATGAAAAGGAAGCTGATGCTCCAGGGCAAAGGAGAAAAGAAATCCCTGAAATACTAATATTTTGTGATTTGAGATTATGAAATTGGGAAAGGATAAAAGGCAAAAGAATTTTGAGCACAGGAAATCTTGTGCTACATTACAAAGCAGGTGTCACGAACACTTTACAAATAAGCTGATAAAAAGAAAGTAATAAATACACTTAAGCGCAGCAGGACAACGAGACAGACTTCTGCAAAGTCACCCAGCTAATAAAGAGGAGAGTCACCAGGCCCTCAGTTCTTCTGAATTTAAACCCAGAACTCTTTTCTTCAAAGCCATTATTGGCGATTCAACAAATGTAGACTAAGTGCTGACTTTTGGATAAGGTATTGGGCCAGGATACAATGACAGAATCCAGCAAACATTCCCTGCCCTCAGGGAGCTTGTATTCTACTGGGGGAAGTGAAAGGGATACAATGTGTTCACAGAAAAATAATCTAAATTTTGAAAATGTAAATATGGGAGGATGATTAGGACAGTTCCCTAATCCCCTGCCGAAACTTAAGAAGGCAAACCCTCACATGTCTATAACCATTCAGGTGGGCTTTCACGACACTGGTGTTCAGTCCCATTGGACTCTTCCCGAGCCCATCTGGGGTTTTCTTGGCAGAGGTGCTACAGGGGTTTGCCATTTCCTTCTCCAGCCAAATCATTTTATAGATGAGAAAACTGAGGCAAGCAAGGTTCAGTGACTTGCCTAGGGTCATACAGCTAGTGTGTCAGGCTGGATTTGAATTCAGGAAGATGCTATAAAAATGCGAGTTATTATTCTGCCTCATACAATTAGATGCATTTTTATGTACATCATATCTTCCCAACTCAGTTTTAAGTTTCTTTGAGAAACAGAAATCTTTCTTTATCTTCCACAGTGCCCAGCACTGATTCACCTGGCTTGGGAGGTGGAAGAGGGAGGGGAGGAAGCATTAGATATTCTGAATGTGTCAAATCCAGGCATTCTTCTTGATAGCCTAGATGACCATGGGCAAGTCACTCTTTCTCTGAGCCTGTTGTGAGAAAATGGGCTTTGCAGATTTTTAAGTATATGAGCAATATGAGGAATTCAGAAAAATCAGGGAAGATCTATATGAACTGATACAGAATGAAAGAAGCAGAACCAGGAGAATAAACCGCACAGTGGTGACCATAAAAGGACAAAAAAAAATCAAAAATGGAATTCTGGGCAATTATGATCATTAGCAATGATGCTTACTCTAGAGTCATGTTTTATTGCCCCAATACAATATAAGCTACCTGAAAACAAGGGCAGGTTCCACTTTGTCACTGTATCCTCAGTGCTAGGCACACAGTAGGCACTTTAAACATGTTTGTTGAATTGAATTTAAGTGGAAGCTTCATAATGGCTAAGTCAATTTCTGTGTCATAAAAGAATCTCATGAACAGTAGCTAATATTATGATAACACTAAAGGCTTCAATAATTTCAGTCTCTTCCCCCACAAAAAAAAAAAAAGATTTTCAATGAAAAGTTTTCTTTTGGATACAAGAACCAACATTGACTCTAAAAAGGACTAAAGGGGAAGGGGAGGTTTGAGCTCATTAACGGAAACTTGGAGTTCTTAATGTATCAAAATTGGCCCTTACCTAGAGCTAGTACTGCATTTCATAAATGTTTAAACTATGGCTCTCTCTATTCATATTTAACAGCTCCATTCCATGAGCTCACAGTATGGTTTAATGGAAACAGGCTTTTTAATATAGATTAGCAGAGATTTATTTGTAATTCTCTGATGCCAGTCCAAAGTAGTGGTGTTAGTATTGTTCTCTATTTAATAATAAAAAGCTCAGTGAGGCAGGAAAAAATACAAGTCTGCTGCAGAGCAGAATCTCCACATGCTAAAAGCAAGATGAAAATCAGACTGTTTTCTTAGCACCTAGAACAAGTCCTATCCAGATGAGCTGCCTTAATTCATGGTGGGTTGAAGGATTTGAATTTGGGTGAAATCAAAAGGTTCAAGTGATTAAGAAAAGCAGTACATTCAAATGTTACTTTGGCAGCAGCAAAATTAAAGCAATTGGCATTGATGGATAACCAAAAGCACAAACCTAAATCCAGGCCACTATCTGAGATGGATTCTGAGTGTTCAAGGTCATCAAAAATGCCTTGGCACAAGTTGCCTTCAGCAGAGGAGACGGAGGACAAAGAAACTTTGCCAAAATTCTCATTTATCTGGAGAGAAAGAGAAAGGAAAATGTGTTAGAACATCATCTACTAGCTGTGTGACCCTAGGCAAGTCACTTAACCCCACTACCTAGCCAAAAAACAAAAAAAACAAACAAAAACAAAAAGCCAAGGAATTAAAAAAAAATATCACAGGAGAAATAATGAAAAACCAACTTGGTTATCATTCCATTGGGCAAATCACAACAAACATGTCTTTTCAGAGAGAATAGAAGATTTTGAGGACAAGGATTGTTTGTGTCTTTGTACCCCAGGCAACTAGCCACCATGTCTGGAACACAGCAAAATATTAGTAACCAATGGCTGATTGGCTCACTGTTTGATGCCTCCTTGAGGTCCATCATGAAATGCGATACATTCTTGTGGAAGATGTTTATTTTTATATTTTGAAGTCCTTATAATTATAACGTGATTCCTTGGGGAAAGTGGTATTCAAAGACTTGCAACCATAAAGTCCTTCTAGGACAATTACATATCTTCTAATAATAACAACTGCAAAATGCTTTACATATCTTCTCTCATCTGATCTTCACCATGACCTGTGAAATGAGCACTGTTACTACTCATTTAAACAGATGAGGAATCTCGAGATAAGAGGAGCTAAGTGACTACCTCAGAGTCACACAGAGAGTCAATGTCTGAGAAGACCCAGGAAACTCATGTGGTCCTGCCCAAAGCCAACACTCTATCCACTATCCCAGGGAGGAAACTTTGGGTCTTGGCTTTTCAGGAAGAATGTATAATTTGCCAAATTCAATCCAGGTCCTGATTTCCTCTCTCCAATCAATTCTGAGACCAACACATTGTCTGTCCCCTGAGCCTGCCCCAAATATCTGTGCCCGTAGACTTGCCATTAGGGGAGGGTGGAAGTAGTCTCTTTCCAGTAGCAAGGTGTTGCTATGTAGGGTGAAATACAGAATTCAAGAAATGCATGACAGGATGGGGAGGTACCAATTACATGGCAGGTGAGAGTAATAACAGAGGAACAGGCTGAGTTGTCTACTGAAACCCACCCAATGGGAAAAGACATGGAGGAAGGTATCTAGCACCACGATTAGCTCTTAGAGTGCATACTAACGGAGGAATCCAGGTGACAATCCCACAGGGCGAGAAGGTAGGGATGGGCTGTAGTCTGTACCTCTGAGGTGATACCACAGTAGAAACAGTGCCAGGCTTGGAATCAGAAAGATGGGTTCAAATCTGGCCGTGTGACCCTGGGCAAGACATTTAACCGCTATCTGCCTCAGTTTCCTCAACTGTAAAATGGAGATAATAATAGTACCCATCCCACCCCTACGATTGTTGTGAGGATCAAAGGAGGTAATATTTGTCAAAAGCACTTAGGACTGCCTAGTACACAGTAGGTGCCATATAAATGCTTATTCCTTCCCTCCTCATTGCCTGAATGAAAGAGATTCAAACATCAACATCACCATTGATCGTATGATTGTAGGATCATCTAACACTTCATTCTGCAGAAGAGGGAACTGAGGCCAAGAGAGGTTAGATGACTTGACCTGGCTCATATCGAGTAGTGACAGAGTAATAATAATAATAATAATAAATAATAGTAAAGTAGTATTGACATGGGGATTTAAAGTTTACAAAGAGCTTTATACCTGTTATCTCATTTGAACATCATAACAACCTGTACAGGAGATATTATCATCATCCCTGTTTTTACAAAGTGGGAAACCAAGGCTAGGAGGTTAGATGACATGACCCATGTCACATAGGATAGTGACAGAGGAATAAATAAAAAATGGTATTTATACACAGATTTAAAATTTACAAAAAGCTTTACCCGTGTGATCTTATTTGATCTTCATAATAATCCTGTAAAGCAAGTATTATCATCATCATCATCCCTGTTTTTATGGAGGGGGAAACTGAGGCAAGGATTTGTGGCTGAGTAAATGGCTGCGTTAGGATTCAAATTCTGGCATCCCTGACTCTGTCTAACACTCTTGCCACCAGAGACAGGGTGTGAATCCAGGCCCTTGGTCTCCAAGAACAGCATTCTTGTCTGTGACCTATCTGAAAAAGTCTGAATGAAGGAATGAAGAAAGGAAGGCATTTTCCCAACAGAGTAAGTGTATAGTTACTTACCTGTAACTGAGTAAGTCTGTAGAGATGAAAGAGGTGAGAAAGGCAGAACAGATTCATAGTGGCCTGTAGTGTCACGGAGAGGACACAGAACCTGCTAGAAATGGATCCAGGGTCCAAGGGAGCAGAAGGGGAACCATTTCCTATCAGCATTGTGGATTCATGAATGTAGGGGAGAGGAGCTTACAGGCCAGAGATGCTTGACATTAGAATTTACCTGTGTGACCCTGGGCAAGTCTCTTGACTTCAGCTTCCTCATCTGAAAAATATGGGGGTTAGAGGAGGCTGCCTCTGAGGTCCCTTCGGGCCCTAGACCTGTGACCCTTTGATGGGCCGGAAAATAGTTTGCTGCTCTAGGAGTGGGAGAAATTAAATAAGGAGCCGCCATCTGACTGGGGATGAGGAGGAAAAGGAAGATCTTGCAGCGCAAGGAAGCAATAACATTTTTCCCAAATAAAAACACAGAAAAATGAGGTCAATTGGCGCCATAGAAACTGCCCTGAGGCAAAGACAGCCTAAACCTCCATTAGTCTACATTCTCATATTCTGCAATGAGACTCTGGGAACAAAAACACGTCTATGAAATGCAGTTGTAAGTCATCCATGCTGGGCGCTGCTGGAGGCTTAGCAGAAATAGCTAAATGTGCCGGAAGCCTCGTGGATTACGACAGCATTAGAAGAAAGCATGGTTCCATAGTCTGTAGCAAAAAAGCACCATATTTGCACAAACAAATATTGGAGGAAAAGATTCTCTACATTAAAAAGAAATCTACTTAGGTTTGCCATCTTGGGGAATGGATTATTGACCTGAACAGGCAAACAGCAGAAATGGGGGAGGCAGAAAGGAAGGAGGTAATAACTACCTTTCCAGAGCTTTTCTCTCTAAGCAAACACCACACTTCTCTGGAGTCTTAAGAAGGTCACAGGACTGAAGGATCTTAGATTAGAGGGTGAAGGGACTCCAGGGCTTGAGGTAATCTAGTCAATTACCCTCATTTTGAAAGATGTGGAAACCGAGGCCCAAGGAGGTCAGGGTGATTTGTCCAAGGTCATAAAGATATTGAGTGCTGACTGTGCCCTCACTTACCCCTCAACACACTGCTCTTGAAGAGGGCTTTGAAATACTCCTTGCTCCCCATTGCCATTTCTAGACTCTTTCATCATTCAGAAAACCTTCCTTCCAATTAAAATTGTCCACCCAATCCATACTATGGTTGTCATTGTGGTTCCAGACCCCAGGTCATCCTCCCTGTCTTTCTCTCTTTCCCAACTGTTGCCGTCATCCACACAGATGTTCCCTGAAGCAAATTAACCTGCTTATATCTCACGACCTATTCCTGCAAATCACCTCAGCCATGCACAGGGAAGGGATCTCTCCATTACCAAAATGTTCCTTAATCAAATGCTCTGACTCTAACTTCCCATCATTCTACGACTCCCTGTGCCTCATCACTTCTAAACTCATTCTGCGCCCTCATCGAGACCTCTAATTCCCTCCTCCTCTCAGGACCTTCTGGGACACCACCATGACATTGCTTTCCTGCTTCTCCCATCTCTGCTCTAGAGTTAGTCAATTCATCCACATCATTCTCCACTCTCACAGCCCTCACTCAGCCATCCTATCCCCACTCTCCTCTTGCCAAACCTCAGGCCAGGATTCTTCCATCATCCCCTCTCCTGCACTTTAACTAGGAGCCGCTAAACAGAGCTGGAGGAAATGACAAAACTATGTCTCTGAGTACACTACAAATTATCCAACTTTATCTGGGCCTTACTGGTTCCTCTCAATTGATTACCTCTCTGTCCCATCTAATCATGTTAGAGATGGGGAAGCTGAGGCCCCAAAGGAGGAAATGACTTGGCCAAGATGATATAGTCTTTGGCAGAGCCCAGCTGTGAAATCAGATACTCTGACTTCAAATTCAATGCATCAGGAAATCCACAAGCATTTATTACTAATATTTGTTGCATTTCTGGCAAACAACACAGGGCTTGGCACAGTGCAATCTCTGAACGAATGTTTTTGGTTCACATATTTGTTTATTTAATCATTCAGTCATGAAGCAACTATTATGTGCCAGGCACTGGGTTAGATGCAAAGGATACAAAAAGATTGTCCCTGTCCCTATTCCTCTAGGGAGATGGCATGGATAGATAAACAAATGCAGGATATTTACAAAATAATTAACAAGTAGTATCTGTAATGGGAAGCAGGGGACTAACAATGGGGGGAATCAGGAATGTCCTCCAGAAAGAGGCAGCCCCTGAAATGAGCTCTGGAAGTTGTGACCATGAGCTGACCCATGTGTGTCTGTCCTCAAATGACTGGTCCAACCAAGTCAATACAAACAGCCTCATCATCACAGGGGATGCCTTTTCCAACCAAGAAAACTCTCCAGCACCACATGTCTGTCTGTTAAGTAACCCAGGGCTCCCAGTCCGGCTTGGTGGAAGACATGCCAATGCTGATGAATTACAATCCATCAGAGATAAAAAAGAATAACAGGACCGAAATGAACCAAAGATCCCTGGGCTCCCATCTAAAGACATGGAATCCCCCATAAATCATTAGCTAATTCTTATCAAGGGTCCCCAAGGGCACTCAGACACCTCCAAAATGCTGTAATCATGACTTACAGTGAAAAATGCTGGTGAAATACAAATATTTTTCACTTACAGACCCCATGAAGGAAGAGGAGAAGGAGAGACTGGAGCCCTTTAGGACTTCTTACCATAACTTCACTGTTGTATCTGTTCTGTGGTATCTCCTGGGAACTCGTGTGCATCATGGATCTCAGATCGTGAGCTTCATAGGTCCCTGGATGACTTAGCCACTGGGTGCCAAAGTGATAATCCTGGCTTGGAGGGAGGGGAAGATCCTTCTTGCCCACTGATGAAGAATATAAATCTATGTTCTGGAAGATATCCTGGAAGTCATGCACATCATCCACAAGCATCTCTCTCTCTTCTCCCATTTCAGGTGCTCTGGGTTTCAGGAAAGCATGCATCTCCCACGCCTCTTGAGGGCTGTCGATTTCTTTTGACTGTCCCTGGAATGTCCTTCCCAAATCAAGGAAAGGCTCATCCAAGTCCTCTTCATGAAGGAAGGAATCATCTCGGAACTCCTACAGACAACACAGCAAAAAACAACCAAGGCTGTATTTTACACGAGACCAATTTGGGAATTTAGAAATCAGCTGCTGTTCCCGCACCCAAGCAGACCCTGTTTGCTTTCCCTCTAACTACCCGCCAGTGTTTCACACACACTTTCTCCACACAGAATGTCCTGCAAGGACGTCACTTTGGTCACCCCACATGGTGTGTTACTAGCTGACGTGCTTCCCACGAGGGCCACCAGCACTAAAAAAAATGTGCCCTAGGCAAGGTGAGTGGTTACTTACAAAGCAAGCTCCATTATACATTAACTATCTTATGATGTCCAGGAGATATAGTTGTCATTTTAGTTAAATTACAAATGTTACAATAATCATGACCCTCAACAATTAACACTCATCTACCAAAAGTGAACTCTTCAAAACTGTGATGACCAAGCAAGGCCCCAAAGAAGGACCAAAAAAAGCCGCATCCTCCCAGCTTCTCTGCAGAAGGGATGGATCATGGCAGTGGAACACTAATAGAAAAGACGAGAATTTTTTGATAAATTGGTTGGGTGTTTTGGAACTTTTAAACTTTTTTTTTTAATAAATTCTTTATTATAAGGGAAGGTTCTTTGGAAGGGGATTGGAGAAGAGACACAGTAGTGCTCTGTGACCTGAGGTATGACAATTAAACTCTCCAGGTCAGTTTCCTCTAGAATGAGATAGCCTCTAAGGACTCCTCTAACTCCAGATCTAGAACCAGGAGCCAATATTCTATAACCAACTTGCTCTAGAGTAAGAGGTCCTGAGTTCAAATCACGCCCCTAGTGCTTCCTACCTATCACTTAATGTCACTGGGCATTAGTTTCTTCATCTATAAAATGGACTATATGGCTTCTGGAATTCCTCACATCTCAATATCTATCTTATGTTGTCTAAGGACCAGCCTGGCTAAGTTTGGAGAGACCACTGATTGATGAATTTGACCAATCAATAACCAGTCAAATACAAATATGAAAGAGAAATAGCCCCCGTCCTTGAGGATCATAAATTCTATGAGGCAGAGACAACTTAATAATATTAGCTAATACTTAAATAGTGTCCCAGGCACTGTGCTAAGTGCCTTATATTATTATCTCATTTGATCCTCACAGCCACCCTGGGAGATAGATGCTATTATTATCTCTGTTTTACAGATGAGGAAACTGAAGCAAACAGTGGTTCAATGATTTGCCCAGGGTCACACAGGATTTAAACTGACATGCTTCCTGACTCCAGGCATGGTACCCTATCCACTGCTCTGCCTAACTGCCACCAGACAGAAAAATATGGGCAGAACACACTTAAAATGGAGGTGGTCCTTTTAGGCAGGAGGGGTCCCTGAGACAATGATTTTTTAGCTGTGATGATGCTCAAAACGCAGGAAGTTAGAGAGGAGACGACAGAGACTTGGTGCGTGGAAGGAATATGTATGTCCACCAAGAAAATTACAAATCCTCGAAGTGTGCAAAAACCACATTTTAGACTACATTGCATTGACCTGGGCACATGGCTAATCTCTTGCTACCAGATGTTAAGCTACTCAAGGACTTTAAATAAGATATGCTTTCTAATATTTAACAGCAGCAGTAATGGGTTCAGATAGAAATGCTCTCAGTAACAAGTCTATGATGCTCTCCTCAAGCCCTGCCCCACTCAGTAAGAAATTCCTTCTGAAGATGAATCACATTTTCTATTCAAAGTGTCACTAATATGAAGAGTCCCAGGATAGGGGTTCAGGGAATTGTCTTATTCTCTACCAATTCTTCTCTTGCAAACAACTAAACCTAACTGCAATGAATCCTAAAAGACAAACAGATAAGGAAGAACAAAACCTGAAGATTGACTGGCTTCTTCGATGGATCAGGGAAGCCCAATGGTGCCATTTGAAAGCTATTTCTCTTCAAATGATCAGGGACAAAGGGTGGATTTGTGGATGGCAAGACCATAGAACATTACCTGGATCAGACCAGCACTCTCATCTTATAGAGGAGGAAAAAAAGATCCAAAAAAGAGAAGTTGCTTATAGGATCCCTGATGCCGGGCAGAGAAAGATGTCAAAAATCATCAATCCTAGCACCTTTATTTTACAGTGGAAGAAAAGGAGATTCATAAAGGAAAAGAGGTCTCGTATTTAGGTTGGGGGTGGACTTCAGAGAAATCCCAAATTTTCCTTTCAAAGATGAGGAAACTGAGGCTCAGATAGGGGAGGTAAGTTGACCAATGTCATACAAAATAAGTGGTTGAGTATGTTTGAACTCAAATGTTCTGACCCCAAGACATTACTCTAGCAACCATGCTGCCTTCCTCTAAATTTCCATGACAAGGTGATCTCTAATAGGACATTGAAAGGGGACTATTTTCTTGAAGATATCCCCAGTTTTGTAGAAAACAGGTTATCCCAAGGGCAGACACAAATGCAAAAATAATTTGTCCATTTAGCAATATGAGTATGCCTAGTCTGATGGGGAAATGGCTATATCATCCTCCTCACCACCAACATGTATGACAGGTTTCTTATGTATGATCTCATTTGAACCGTATCTGGTTCTGAAAAACAAGATTATTTATGGGGTTGCCTAGTTACAGAATCTTTACATGAGGATTAGGAGGATGCAATTTCCTAAAAGGCAGGGTATATCTCCCTTTCATTTTCATGTCCTCAGCATCTAACACAGTGCCTGGTATTTTTTCTTTTACCAGACTTGTGATTTCATGGGTATAGGCAACTCCCAGATAAAGAAAGAAAAAATTCTCCTACCAATAGTGCATGTCAACACTTTCTCTGGAACTTAGAGTCTTAGAGGGCTGGGAACAGGGAGGTTAGGGGATGTGCCCAGGGACAAACAGCCAGCATGAACAAGGGGCAAGACTCAAATCCAGATCTTCTTGGCTTGCTAACCTCTATACTATGCACCCTCTCATGTGCAGTTGACAATTGGCACTTAATAAATGCTTAACTGAAATCACCACAGGAATCTGTTAAGAGGTAGTAGACTGCCCTTGGCCAATTAAAACAGGACCCACCGTGCATACCGCTTTGCAGCAAAACTAAGGCCACATAAAAGGAAAGAAGTACTCCTGCATTCAAGAGAAGGGTTTCTGCTTTTAGAAAAGTCTCATAAGTCAGGGCTTGAAAGATCCCACTTCTAAAAAAAATGAGCATTTAATTTCCATGTATACAGGAATCGAGGAGGGGTGGAGGGTGGAATGAACAAAGGGAGATGAAACTTCTTCCTTCGTAAAGCTCTGTCCAGCAGTAAACTGTCTATTGAAACAGGAAACCAAGCTGCTCCCTACCGAGGGGGCTTCCAGAATCAGAGGCGAGTCCATTGTCTCCATGGATCCTGAGTGCGTAGGCGTTTCTTCAAAAGCAGTTGGTTGCAAGACATTTGATGTATTCTCCTCATTACCTTCAACCTAGAAAAAAAGCAAGAAATGTGTGTGTGATTAAAAAAAACAAACTGAACGGTTTCAAACTCTCTTAAAGTTGAATCTGAATCTTCCCAGTAAGCAAAAGTACTTGGGATTTCTCAACAATGAAGCCCTCTGTACTGTGAGCACTCAAGGAAGAATTAATGTCCCAAGCAGGAAAAGAGCCAGATGAGCTAGTTCTCAAAAATGGCCAGACAAGGAATTAACGTAAATCTTAAGACTTGAAAAGATGTAAAGGTTTCCACCTGTAATTGGGGAGTACCTCTCAAAAAGACCCCAGAAATAATGTGGATATTTATACTAGCTGATAAAAAAGGAAGTCCACAAATACAGCAAAATACTGACAGGGGCACTTTTCTGTGGAAATGACTGGAGACAAAGCATGAGCCCTCTGGAGAAAGGCTAAACAAACAATAGGACATAAAGAGAATGGAATAATGCTAGGTAGGAAGAAACAATGAATGTGATGAATCATAGAATCATAGAAGGACTCCCACAAACTGATGCAGAATGAAGTAAGGAGAGCCAAGAAAACAATAAACACAATGATTACAATGATGTAAAGGGGAAGAAGTACCAAAGAATCAAAAGGGAGCATTACAAAGTTACAAGCAAGCCTCAAAGAGGAAATATCAGAAGACAACCCCCTCTTCCACTTCTCTGACGAGGTAGGAGGCCCACAGGGGTGGAATATTACATACACTGTCAACGTATTTTTTCTACATATTCATCGGTTTTGCTGATTGGTTTTTTTTCTTGTTAAAAATATTCCTTGTTTTTTCTTTTTTTTGTTAAAAATCTTTGTCATTTGAGACTTTTTTTTTTGAGGGGAAATGGGGAGGAATACAAGGGGAAACCTAGACAATATAAAAAGAAAAGATTAATAAAATTTACTTTTTTTATAAAGCATGTTGATTTGACCTCACCCCAATTCATCTCTTATAAAGTCCCTACCTTGATTTCCCCAATTCCACTACAATCAGAACAGCAGAATCTCAAACACAGATGGGCTCTCAGAGTCCAGCTTACACCCCAACAAGAAACAGCTCCAGAACATGCCCAAGAAGAGAGCGTCCAGCCCCTGGCTGAAGAACTCAGATGAGAAGTCCATTGCATTCTGGGATAGCTCTCACTTTTAAGAGGCTTTCGCTCATATTAATGTTAAATCAGCCTTCTTCCAACCCATCCTTCCTGGCTCTCCTTCCGGGGTCAAATGTCACAAGCTGAACAATGCTTTCACATGACTGCACCTTAAGGACCTGAAGACCACTATCACTTCCCGCCATCTCTGCCCCCTGGACCCTAACCCCAGCAAATCTTTCTAGGCTAAACATCGCCTATCACTTTAACTAAGCCTTACATAGCATGCTCTCAAGGCTTTCACGCTCCTGGTCACCTTCCTCCATCCACTCTCCAGGTTCTAATTATGATGCCCTCTAATCAGGGGGCTGACCCAAGCCAAGTACAATAACACTGTTAGTGGGGGCAGCTAAATGGCACAGTGGATAGAGCTCTGGCCTCAGAGTCAGGAGACCTGAGTTCAAATCTGGCTTCAGACACTTGACACTTATTAGCTGTGTGACCCTGGGCAAGTCATTTAACCCCCAACTGCCTCACCAAAAAGCAAAAAAAAAAAAAAAACACTATTAGTTCGTTCTTCCTGGATACCGGGCTTCCCTTAAAGGAGCTTAAAGTCACCTTGGCTGTCTTGACTTCTCCTGTCTTGGAGGCAGCTAGAAGGCACTGTGGAGAGAGTAGGACATGGCATCCAGAAGACAATCCTGCCTCATATATTTAATAGCAAGGCCCCCAGGGGAAGTTACAGAACCTGTCTTTGTGGAAGCCCTTTGGGGGGAGCCTTGGGAATCCCTGCCTTGGGAGGCAAAGAAAGGTCATTTTCCAGCCCACAGAATTGGCATTCCACTCTCTACTGGTCAGAATCTCTCCCTGTTTATAGGGTGCTTCCTCAACTCAACGGCGAGGGCCAAGGGCCAGTCCAAGGTCACATTTCTTTTGTAATATCTCCAAGTCTGTGCACAAGGCAGCATTGGGCAGAAGTTCCTGATTAACTGCAGGAAACGGGAACCTTTAAAATTATATATTTTGAAATACAAAGGCCCCAGAGAAGACCCATTGTTGGCTGGAGCCAAGAGGCATCTCACATCACAGCTTGTAAACAGCCAGCTGGGCTGACGGCACAGAGATGGGAGGGGAGCGCACTTAACAGGAAAGAGTCACCATGCTGACCTCTCCCCCAGCTGCATCATTGGCCTCCTAAGCTCACGGGCAGCTGTGGCCTCAAAAAGGGAAGCCTGGGGTACTCCCATCCCACCAGTGGCCAAGCCTTTGGAGAATGGCTCAGGGGCCCGTGGTTTGTCCATTTGCCCTCTGCCAGAACCAGCAGGTCATCACCTCCCCTCTCACAGTATGGAGGGCTTGGCACAGTTCTAATATTACCCTCAATATTAATACCCTTCATGATATTACTGCCAATTTTGAACTGCTCAATATGCTAACAATTGGTCTACGATTTTACAATATTAAATTTATATAGATACTATGGTGCAACAGGAATTGGATCTTTTAGAACAATCAGTAATTGCATTAGGTAAACATAACAACAATTAGAAACGCACTTCAATTTGAAATGTGATTATCGCTATTCATTTATCTGTGTAACTCCATATGTGTATTCAAAGTTTACTAATATAACTATTGAACAAATATTGAACAAGCTCCAAGGTGCCTGGCACTCTGACAATATCACCTGGGACATTAACCAGCTATCCAAAATACAACATGAAATTGCTGATTCTCATATTGATGGTATTGATCCTAAAGATATTGCAAACAAATTGTTAGATTGGATTGACCAACTTAATCCTTTTAAGAATGTATTAAGTTTGCTATTACATTTTTTACCTTGGCTATGTTTTGTATTAATTTTGTGTTTCCTCCTTCCCTGCTTGTTAAAATACACTCGCCATACTTTAGGTGAGATTTTTTCATCCCTTCATCTTCTCAAGTTAAACAGTCAGAGGGGGGAGTTTGTTGAGGGCTTGCATTGATGGGTTTGAGGATATAGGTCATGTCGGGATGTTCCTGTTCCTGTCCATTATCTAAGAGCCATCTAGGTCAGAACGTAGGCTCTCCGACTTCTTCTAGGCGCTGTCTGTCCCTTGAGAGGATGAAGGATTTTCAATAAACCTTGAAAGATAATCGGGAAGCGAGGAGAAGACTCTGGGGGGAAAACCCCCCCAGTTACCGTTACCATGAGAAAAATTAATTGTTGATACTTGGCTTTTTCCACTCTGGCTTCTGTTCCCATGAATGGGATATAATAACCCTAACCCTCAGATCAATAAACAGAGCTTGTTCATAACTTGCTACCCCCTGGTCCGCATGATTTTCTTTCTCTTCTCTCTCTCTCTCTCTCTCTCTTCTCTCTCTCTCTTCTCTCTCTCTCTCTCTCTCTCTCTCTCTCTCTCCTCTCTCTCCCCTTTCCCCTCCCTCCTTCCCTCCCTCCCTCTCTCTCCCCCTCTCTTTCTTTCTGTCTCTTTTTCTCTCTTTTTAGCCTCACCGGAGATTAAACATTGTAGTCAACGCAGGAGTCAGCTACAGCACAGGAAATTCCTGGTCTTTGTTTTTCTTTAAAACAGTCTGGGATTCCCCTACCAGGCCTGCGCTGGGCAGAAACACCTCTTCCAAAGAGTTTCCCAGGAGTCCCCTGTCTTCAGGCACATAAGTGTCAGGAATTTAGTCAAATATTCCTGCCTTCCAACAAAGAGACAGTGGGGTTCCCGGGCCACAAAGAGCAGCTCACCTCATTGGAATAAGAAGAAAACTACTTTGAAGGAAAGCCTTGGTTGTTCATCTGAATAAGTACATATTAACAGATTAGAAACTTCAGAAGTAAATTCAATTAAAAAAGCAATTATTAAACAACTACTTTATACAATCAATCCATTATCAAGCATTTATTAAGCACTGAGTGCATACCAGACTGCTCAAGGCACTATGTTGCACGTTGGGTATTGAAATGAATTAATAGGCCTTGCCCCCAATCAAGGTGAGATCATGCCAGGAAACAGCATAAGCAAAGGCAGGGAGGTGGGAAAGCAGAAGGCATGTTCAAGGGGCAGAGCATTTTATCGACCAACAAGTATTTATCCAGTATCTACTTGGCAGCTGGGTGGTACAGTGGTTATAGCACTGGGCCTAGGGAGAGGAAAACCTGCCTCAGGCTCTTAATAGCTGCGCGACCCTGGGCAAGTCATTTAACTTCTTTTGGCCTCAGTGTCCTCATCTGCAAAATGGAGATAATAATAGCACTTACCTTCCAAGGTAGTTGTGAAGATCTAATGGGATAATATCTGTAAAGTGCTTTGTAAACCTTCAAGTAAATGCTCGCTATTATTGTCATTAAATAGACAAGAGGCATAGTGTTATGCACTAGGGATAGATACGCAAAGACAAAATAAGAAACAGTTCTGTTTCCTCAAGGAATAGCCATTCGAAAGAGGGAGAAGCCATGAACTGCATAGAAGTTTATATAAATTACAGACAAATCAGATACGTGGTAACCTTAGAGAGGGGGATGAGTACCAGCAGCTGGGGAGATCAGGACAGCCACCATGCCAGATGCACCATCAGGAGTACAGGCTGATAATGCCCACAAAGCAGGGCCATGAAGGAGAGGTCGATGGTATTTATACCATTTACCATAGTCTTATAGCAAAGAATTCTGAGCAGGGGAAAGATATAGGCAGGATTAAAGACAGAAAAGTTTCTGACAGCAGCGGTATGAAAGATGGAGTGAGAAGTCGGTGATTGGAGGCTGGAAAAACCTATCAGGAGGACGTGAAGATGCTACAGAAGAGTAATTCCTCCCACCTAGGTCCATTTGACTGGAGGTCCACAAATCAAGAGGCTAGAAGAGAGCAGGGTTAATTAGCATGAGCTGATGGGCAATTAGCAGTGGAGAGCTAGCACACAGAACGAAGGGAGACAAGTGCTTATACCGAGTTTTACACAGCCTCGGCGCAACATACCAGGTGGCCAAGGAAGCAATCAAGTAAGAGCTACTCAGCCATTTTCCCAATGGCTGAGGAGAGGATGTCAAGTGGTGAGGGGAAGAGGGGAAGAAGGTCTTGAGGCAGCTAGGTGGAGCAGTGGATGGAGCACCGGCTCTCAAGTCAGGAGGACCTGAGTTCAAATCCAGCCTCAGACCAAACACTTGACACATACTAGCTGTGTGATCCTGGGCAAGTCACTTAACCCCAATTGTCTAAAAAAAAAAAACAAAATAAAGGAAAAAAAAGGACGAAGGTCTTAACTCTGGGGTTGTAACTTGTTGGCCCTGTTGTCTCAGGAGTTGCCAAGATCAGGTTTATTCTGGCGGGGATGTTTCTCCATAGTTAATCATAAAATCTCATCTCGGTGGGGCAAGACATCCCAAAGATAATGGAGGCTTCCTTCACAGTAGACTCAGTGAGCTTTTCCTATTGTTGAATAAAATACAGACTGAGGGTCTGTCTAGTTACACAACCCTGAAGTTCACTCTCTTTCACCACTAAAGTTACTTTTTCTGGGGAGAGGATCTTTCTCCCAAACTCACAAAATACAGATTGTATTCACTTCCTCCACAGAGGCTGCTGAAGTAATCCCAGGAGATGGTCAGGTAAAGGCCTAATTCATGGTGGTCATGACACTGAGAAGAGAGAATGGGGTGAATGAAAGGGACATTGTCAATGTTTCATCAAGAGGACTTGGTGTTCTGGAAATAAATATGGGTCAGAAGCCATCACACCTTGCCCTGGCCTGCAAGTACCACTGAAGCCCAGTTAACATGCCTGGTACTTGACCCAGTGATTGGAAACACCTGGACCAGGTTATACTCAAGCCAAGTCAATGACTCAATCAACCTTTATTAAGCATCTACCATGTGCCAAGTACTGTGTTATGCACTGAAGTCTCTTCTGTGTTGGATGTTTGACCTAGACTACCTATTTAACCACAATCCCGCTGCTCCCTCACCCATATTTGGGGCAAAGTCTTCATAGTGAAGAGAAGTTCAGACTTATGAAAAACATTTCTAGGCACTGGCTGGTGAATCCTGAGGAGAGCCCAGGAGTGAAGATGGGGAGAAAATGTCACTGTTGCCGATGGCCATCTAGAGATAGATAACTTCCCTCTGTGATGCACGCGTGCGCGCGCGCACACACACACACACACACACACACACACACACACACACACACACACACAGATGACTGGCAGATAAATGGAGTGATTGAGGTCCTTTAGGCAGTTGGAAATGCAGGTCAATTACACGGAACAGAGTACTAACCAGAGACAGAGATCTCAATATTGATGCCATGAATGAAAGAAATAACCAAATGAAGAGAGTGGGTGGAAGAGAAATGAAGGGAGAAGCGGTGGAGGGGAAGGAGGGAAAGGGAAGTTACAGAGAATGATAGATGGGCCAGAGAAGAAAATAATGGAAAGAACAAAAGTGAGAATTCAGTTTAAATGACAGGGATCTGAAACTAAGGCACAGAAGGGCTGGATAGAGAGAAAGAAGGAAAACTGGGTTGGGTCCAAAGGCAAAGAAGGAGCTAGTATTCCTCAGGGAAAGGTTAATGACTAACATTGACAGACTTATCGCTTCTCATCAATACAAGGATCTAAGACATCTCCAAAGGCTTCAGGATGAAAAATGCCATCCACATCCAGAGAAAGAACTGTGGAGTCTGAATGCAGATCGAAGCAGACTATTTACTATTTTTTTTCTTCTGTTGAGTTTTGTTTCCTCTTTCTGGGGGTTCCTCCTCTTGGTTCTAATTCTTACTTACAATATCGCTAATGTGAAAATATGTTTAATAGGAATATATATTTATAGCCTACATTAGATTGTGCGCTGTCCTGGGGAAGGTGGTGGGGAGAGAGAGAAAAATTTAAAACTCAAAAGCTTATGGAAGTGATTGTTGATAATTCAAAATAAATTAATTTTTAAAAAAGAGTGTCAAATGCTACAACAGTGAAGGAAGAAAAAAACTGAAAGAATAAAAAGCTGCTAAGTTTTAGTCACAGGGGAGAAAGAAAAGGAATAAGCATTTATGCAGCGCCTACTGTGTGCTGGGCACTGTGCTAGGTAATGGAGATGGAAACACAGCACAATGAAATCACTTGTATTCTAAAGGAGCTGCCATTCTATCAGCAGAAACTACACATTCAAAAGTGAATACAAAAATAAATATGTGGGAGGTGGAGGGGGAAGGTGCTAGCTGTTGAGGTAATCAGAAAAGGCTTGTGAAAAAGTCATGCTGCCCAGAGTAGAACAGAAACCCCTTAAAGAACACTGCCTCATTTTCACGTTTGTAAGCACTATGCCTGGCATAGAGTTGTTTTTCAGTCATTTTTTCAGTCCTGTCCAACTCTCCATGAGCCCATTTGGCAGAAATACTGGAGTGGTTTGCCATTTCCTTCTCCAGTTCATTTTACAGGTGTGGAACTGAGGCAAACAGGGTTAAGTGACTTGTCCAGGGTCACACAGCTAGTAAGTGCCTGAGGCTGGATTTGAACTCAGGAAGCTGAGTCTTCTGATTCCAAGCCCACTGCCCCACCTCACTGCCCCAGCATATATCAGCTACCTTAACATGCTTGGTGACAGATTGTTTGAAGTAGTGAGAAAGCAGTGGCATCAGATATAGACAACTTTTTCAAGATATATGGTGGTGAGGGAGCTGAGAAATGTAAAATGAGAGCTAAGGTCAAGGCAAGAGGCGTTTTTTTAAGATTGGGAAGCATAAACACATTTCTAATTAGATGGCAGGGAACTAGTAGAGAATGAAAGAATAGAAAGTACAAAAATGAATTCCAGAATCCAGAGTATAGGAGGGAAATAAAAATAAGGAATAAGAATAATAGCTAGCATTGTATGTTTCTAAGATTTGCAAAGTGCTTTGCAAATATTCTCTTTGGATCCTGGGAGGTGGGTGCTATTATTATTCCCATTTTAAAGATGAGCAAATGGAACCTGAGAGAGATTAAGTAATATGTCCGAAGTCACACAGCTAGTGTCTGGGTCATAAGGACTCCAAGTCCAACCTTCGCTCAAGATCAGAAGAACAAGTGAATGGATTCGCCTTAGTGATAGGTAGGAAGGTGGGTGACGAGTCAGAGAAATTCTTCATGTCAGAGGGCTGCCACATTTGTAAAGCAGTAAGCTAAGTCATCTGCTAAGAGTTTTGGAATTAGAGATGAGCACAAAGGTAAGTGGAGAGATAAAAAGATTTGGGGTGATCACTGTGGAAGACGAAATTAGGGAGATGATAAGGGCAGAGCTGAAACACTATGGAGCACCAGCAGGGGCCCAAGTGAGGATATAAACTACAGTACTAAAAAGATCTATGGAAAGCTCGGGTGGGTCTTAGCACATCCTGAACGAGCATTCCTATTAGCCGTATCGTTCCTCTCAAGAGAAGTAAATTGACCTGCATTTCCAACTGCCTAAAGGACCTCAACCACTCCATTTATCTGCCAGTCATCTCTGTGTGTGTGTGTGTGTGTGTGTGTGTGTGTGTGTGTGTGCACGCACGTGCACCACAGAGGGAAGTTATCTATCTCTAGATGGCCATCGGCAACAGTGACATTTCCTTCCCATCTTCACTCCTGGGCTCTCCTCAGGATTCACCAGCCAGTGCCTAGAAATGTTTTTCATAAGTCTGAACTTCTCTTCACTATGAAGACTTTGCCCCAAATATGGGTGAGGGAGCAGCGGGATTGTGGTTAAATAGGTAGTCTAGGTCAAACATCCAACACAGAAGAGACTTCAGTGCATAACACAGTACTTGGCACATGGTAAGTGTAGCCGGTGATCCTGATGGACAGACTGCCTGAAAAGAAAAATAGCATGTGGATAGGGAAACAAACACTGGACTTCGGAGTCAGGTAGCCAGGCTTCAAGGCCTAGATAACATGTTCCAGGGGTGTGACTTTGGGAAAATCTCTACCTCTCTGAACCTAGCAATAAAATCAGGGTAAATAAAGATATTACATGAAAAGAATCACGTAAGACATAAATCACTAAGAGGCAACATGACACAGCAGTATATATTCATATGTACAAGAAGCATCTCGCAGGCCACCTTATGTGTGAGCCAATGCTCATCCTCCCAGCTGTCTATCTTTCTTAGTACAGGTGCGTAATTGTCAACATATCTGAGCACTGGTCCACGTGTCCGTTCTCCTACTTGATGCACATCAATGCAGTTTCTATCTCTCACCTAAACATTGCAGGTTCCCCTGAACCTAACACAAGAGCTCAACACAGGGTGACATAAAACAGATCGACTGTCAAAAGGAACCTAGGAGTCAGAGTTAAAACGAAGAGCCCAGAAATAAAGTATGACCCTTACCACCAAAGGCTTGCAGACGCCCAGGGTCACTCTTCCCGGGGGCAAAGACTTCAGCACTTCCACAGCTTCGGTGAGCGTGACGTTCTCCAGGGAACGATTGTTGACAAAGACCAGGCGGTCCCCTGGCAATAACTGCCTACCCCGTTCTGCTTCACTATTGGCTACCAGAGAGCGGATCACAATCACAGTCCGAGCCGGGTCTAAAGGGTCCTGAAAAGAGAGTCAGAGAAAAAAGATGTCAGCCTCACCTTGGCATTCACCAATCCAAAACAAAGTAATAAGCAATTGCTAGATACTGGTGCTGCCTTTAAAGAGCTTACATTCTATCAATGTTATTATAAAATACATACAAAGTCATAGAAATCATTTTACTTGATATATGTCAGAAGAAAGAAACATGGACTGTGGTGAGGATGTCCACAGCCTCAAGGAATTTTTCTACCAAAACTGTTGTGCACAACTAGTTCACTCGGCTACAGAGCCTACCCAGGACCTAGGATTTCCCAGTCACCTGAAGAATCAAGACCAGCTTGATCTTTCACTCTGAGCACGCATTGATGAGGCGGGAGAAAAGATGGCAGCAACTCCGTTTATTTTTAGCAAAGCACTTACTTACATAGTAAAATAACAGGAACTCTTTCTCAAGTTACAATGATGTATAACCCATGATGTGCTCAAGGACAGTGCATGCACAGTCTGTGCACTTACCGACTACCAATCACAAATACACTGTTAATGACTAATGAATAACGAGGAAGTTAGAGATGCATAGGACGGAGCACCGAACCAGGCACCTTTGCTCATAGATCAGTCACCTGAGAGGGGCCTCCACCCATTAGTGAGACCTCATGAACAGCCTGTGGTCCTCTACATTCTTACAGATCCTTAACAACTTCCCCTTTTTGTTTTTGCCGGAGACAGAGCATATGAAGCTCAGTCCCAAGGTGCTTTATCTGATTAGCAATGCACCTGAGCAAACACAGTCCAAAACACAGCATGGCCAGCCATAGCAAACATAATGGCAATAAAGAAGATAATAAAGACATAAGCCAATGTTCAAGGTTATCAAAAGGGTTACGGAGTTCATCTAGCCAATCAAGTATATGTTGGGCAGTCTTATCTGGCATCAAATCTTCATCAGCCGCCCTCGCAATATCATCAGCAATGTTATATAAATCATCAATATCCAATGCAACAGTAGAATTCCCAAATAGCCCATTCAGATGTCTACGTATTCTCTGCCACTCCCATTGGGAGTCATTGTATTTAACATTGGTAAGGCAAATGAATTCATACCTATAATCACATTTCAAATGTGTTCTATATTCTAAAATATATAATTCATCACCTATATCAATAATGGTTTCCTTCATTCCCTCAAGTATGTGGTAAAATTCATTTTCTATCCTTTTTTGTGCTTGAAAACCCTTGGATACATTGCGAGCTAGTTGATTCATAAAATCAGCTTGAACCATTTCATTTCTCGCAATAGATATAGATTGAGATAAAGATACAGAAGCAGTTATAATAGCTATATGCGATACAGTTCCTAATACTATACACAAAATACATCTCTTCTTCCTAACAATTGCTAATTGATTTCTCTGGTCTATTATTCCAAAAATATGATCAGAACATGACTCATACCAATCTTGGAAAATTAAACTTTACTGTAATTGACCCATTCTTTTGAGGTATAAAATTAAATTCCTTCCCCAATCCTGCAGATGCATTCTCTTGTAAAATAACCTCAGGTATTGTCTCTCCCCATGTAGCCAGTCTTAGCCATGGCGGTTTTGTCACAAAAGTCCATCTTGTTGTATTTCCTATCTCTGCTGCTGTGTTCTGTACCACTGCCGACAATAACGACAAGAGTCACAGCTTGGTTACAAGTACGTGTAGTGCCTTCTTCTTATTCTTTTGACTCCTTCGATTCCTGGCTGGTCTGTGTTTTCTTTTCTGCTTGCCTCGTCCCTTCTGAATGGATAATACGTACATCCTTTGTTCTGACCCAAGTTCTCCATCACCTGTGAAAATAAGAACAAACCCTTGCCCCCAGGTTAGCACTTGCCCTGGGCCCTGCCAGACACCATCAACGTCTCTCCACATGACTTTCATATTGTGTTTAGGAAAAAGGAATTTGTTTGATTTAGTGGTGTCACTAGTACTGTTGTCATTTCCTGCCAGATATTTCATTGCAGGAGAGAGGTTACAACTGTTGAATTTTAAATAATTTATAGTATAGAGTACAGTGTTTAATTGATGCCACAGGGATCCCTCAGCTCCCCCTTTTTGTTTTTGGAGCACCATCTTTAATGTACGATTGGCACGTTCAACTATGGCCTGACCACGAGGATTATAAGGAAGGCCAGTAGTATGACTAAGAGAGAACTCAGTACAAAACTTTTAAAAACCCTGCGAAATATATGCAGGACCATTATCAGTCTTTAAGCATTGAGGTGGGCCAGCGAAAGAAAAACAATGAAGCAAATGATTAATAACATAGCGGACAGCCTCACCCGCTTGAGCAGTAGCAAAAATAAAGCCTGAATAAGTATCAATAGAAACATGAACATACTTTTGTCTTCCAAAGGGAGAATAATGAGTAACATCCATTTGCCATAAGGCGTTAGGTGTAAGTCCCTTGGGGTTGTGTACATCAACATGAAAAGGGGACTGAAAAGGCACACAAGTAGCACAGCGCTTAACAATTTCACGTGCTTGTGATTTTGTTATGCCATGTAAAGTTCTTAAAGACCTAGCAGATAAATGTAATTGATTATGACTATTCCTGGCTATTTCCACATTCATTGTTAAAGATTTATCAACAAAAATTACCTTCAAAAATTGGTCCTGGAGCAAGAGTATGGGACCGAACATGCAAAACATAAAATTTTTCTGTCCTATTCTGTATATAATGTTGTATATCATGAAGCAACTGACAGATATTATTACCAGTATTTTTTATTATTGCAGTCTCTAGGTGTTTTAGGATTCCTTTTACATATTTACTATCTGTGATGATATTCATTGGCTCCTTATATTTGTGAAAGGCACAATAGACAGCATATAATTCATTCTGTTGTGTGGAGGTAAAAGGTGTATTAATCACCTGTAATTCCTTTCTTTTAGGGCACCAGATAGAAGCCTTATTCATCTTTGTGGCATCAGTAAAGACATTAATTCCGTATACGGTTCACCTGATGTATGTGTGGGTTGTATCCAAGGCCAATTCTCAAAGATTACATGATATTTAAGGGGTTTTCCATACACAAGCTTCAAATTGATATTCACTTGCCAGTTGGGCATTGTTTGTATTGCCATTTCAATTATTTGTTGAGAAAATGGAAGGTATATGACTTCCGATGCGTGCCACATAATTTAAACATCTGTTATCAATTTTATGTATTAAGTCCCCTATCAGGACCATATAATTACTTAAAGTGTTTTTTGACTGAGATGGTAAATATACCCATTCTAAAAGCCTTTGTTTCTGATGTATTACTGCTGTTGGAGAATTTGGGGTGTTAAATATAGAAGCTTCCACGCTTTCATGCCTATCAATCCTGTTTGTATGTGCTCCAACTACTTGTTCCTGAATATACAACAATGTTTGCTTTGCCTCAGGGTCAGTATCCGGGTGAATCTAATTGAGGATCACCTTTAAGGCAATCATACAAGGGTATCAATTTATAATTTGGAATGCCAACCTGTGACCAAGCCACTGTATATCTCCTATAATTTTCTGAAAATCATTAAGTGTTTTCAATTTTTGTAGGTCTATTGTTGGTGGATGTAAAACTATTTTCTCTTGAAGTATTTGATGGCCTAAATATTGAAATGGTGGATGTTTTTGAATCTTTTCTGGGGCTATTTGAAGCCCATGACTTTGCAACAATTCTTGTGTTTTTTGTAAAATTTCTTCTAACACTTCAGGATTAGGATGAGCACATAAAATGTCATCCATGTAATGTATCATTTTTAGCTTTTTGTAATGGAATAGTAAAAAAGCAATCTTTTAAATCAATAACTATCAAAGGCTGGGAAGTCATAAAGCATCATTACTTTTCCTGACTACTTTGCAATAATAAAAACAGATGAATTTTAAGGAACCCAAACAAGTTCATTAGATTTCATTTTGTATTTTGTCAGTTTTATGGATAGAAAAGGCACAAACAGTGGGCAGGAGAAATAACAGCTCTCAGTAAATGTAAAATATCATGCCCACAAATTAAGGGGAAATGAATTGAGTTTTAGCTATCTGTTATCCTAGTAGTTTAAATTCATCTTAAAATAATTGATTAGTGGTGATTTATTAGACAAACTAAAAGTACTTAATATCTGAAAAATTGTATGAAACTTATTAAAAATTATCAAGGAATCTTGATTAATTTGTAACATTTTGGTGGTATACTTGTAGACTGTAGAACAATATACCTAAAGTAAGCAAAGGGTGATACCTTTTGTACCTTGTCAGGGGTAATTATAAATCTATGAGACTGAAAGGCTTGTTAAAACTTGGGCATTAATAAGGAGAGTTTGGTAGTAGTAGGACAACTGCAAAGTTTATCATCCATATAATAAATTATTTTTGTCTGGGAATATTTCTGACTAACAAGTTTAATAGTGTTATGAACAAAATTTCGGCACATGGTAAGATCCTTAAAGGATCATAATAGGAAAAATGGGAAATACTGATTTAATGAGACAACTATACCCAAATTCAAACTCAAAACAAAATTAATTATAGTTCTAAGAGTCTTTTACCTCAAGCAGTAAGTTTCACTGATTATGGCTTAAAGCCAGATACAGTTAATTATTTTCATAGAAATGCAATAAGCAATAAAGATTTACTAGGTCTCACATATATAAGAAATTTTACTTAACATCCTTTCTTTCCCACATTTAAACTTGTCTTGGTGAGAAAGCCAATTATTAGAAATTATTTATATAAAGTTGCAATTTCTCAGTAAGCTAAATGAATTGTTTAGGAACTCAATAACATAAACAAATTCTTTTCTCAGAGCAGACGACCTTGGCACACAGCTGGTAGGAGCTTTTGGCAAGCTTACAAAGTTAAGGGAATTGCCTTGTGCCCCTCCTTTTCTCTCAGAAGTAATTAAAAATTCTAGGTCTTAACTTTAAAACAGTAACTTCAAATAACTTAGTTAACAATTTGGTAATTTTCCTGAGTGATAGTTAAATTGTTT